GCCACCTAGGGGGTCTTGATCAGAAGGTGACTTGATAGGTGACCATGAAGGGCGGTGACCTCAGTGGTCTCTCTGAGGTTCTTCCAGTGCTCCTGGAGAGGATTGGGGGTCCCCAGAGCTCTCTCCTGGGCAAGACATCTCACACAATTAAGTAGACATAAGATCCCAGCTCAGCGGGTGTGTGATGTCTTCATACTGCGTGTGAACAATCACAGTACTGGGTATATCCCGGATGGGGGTCTCAACTTGGTGACATTCATACCTGACTCAGTTGCCCTGAGTTTGTGGCCATAGCAGTGGCAGATGACCTTACGTTCTGCCGTATCTTTGGCTCTTTTCCTTCTCAAGGGCTGAGAGCCAGGCAGGTCTCTATATGGGCCCAGGTGTGGACCTGGACCTGGTTGAGAAAAGGTTTCAGGAAGCAGCTGAGGGCTTGAACTGGTTGTTGCAAAGTGTCCAGCTGTGGCGCAGTGGTCATAATTGAATTAGAGAAGCTCAAAGCCATGCCCATGTCCTTCAGACAGAAAGCCAGGGTTATACCCACAGTGGCAAGGCTTCCCTGACCCGGCCCACAGGCCTGCTCTGACCTCATCCCCTTATACCCTCCTCCACTGGCCCTTCACACACTATCCATATACAGCCTCTGGGTTCCGAACTTTCTGTCCCTTCTGCTCATATGACTTTCCCTACCTCCTTCCTGTCCATTCAAATGTTTGTCAGTGACGCTTTCCCTGGGGACCCAGTGACAAGTCCTGCCCCCACCCAGGTCCTGCTTCTCTATAGCCTGGGTCACCATCTGAAGTTCTATGACTCTGCCTTGCTCCTTTGTCATCTACCTCTCCCCTAAGGGGTGTACTCCTTAGCAACTTCTGTCCATGTTGGAAGTGGGGCAGAATTTCAGCTCTCCCTGTTCAGGGTCTCCTTTGCCTGTCTGTTCAGCTCATTGGAGAAAAAGCGCACACATTTACTGAGTACATGCTCCATGTGGCCTGGGATCCCTTATGTGGGTGAAGTCCTGCAGCAGCAGCCTACAGCAGTCACTTAGACACTGACTTGTGAAGAGACAGCTTTCTGTGTGGGGATTTAATCTCATTTAGTGAACAAGATGGCCAGTGATCTCCTTGCACCTGCTGTTTCTTAAGTACCTTTAACTAAAAATAGTCAATATACCAAAATGGCATATTTTTAACTCCTTTGCCTGCTTGTGCCCAGCGATGCCTGGTTTGAGGGAGGCCACTTGAGAAGCATTGCTGACAGGATGGATGTGTATGTTAACTATCAAAGCTGACTTGGCATGACTGCTGGTGCTGGGCTGGGCTGAGGTACCAGGAGAGCTGCTGAGGAGCTGGACCTCCCACCGTTGGACTTTCTCTAGTGACACTGTGCCAAGTCAAGTGCATGGTCCTGGAGTTTGCATGTCAGTGAAGCAGAAGGTGGGTGAGATGATGTCTGCCAATTTTCTATTCTTTCAACCTGTATCTGAGCACTTGTTCCTGTTCAGCCCTAAGGACTGAATCTCTGCCCTCCAGGGAGACTAAGGCTGAAGGAGACATAGCAAGCGCTGAGCATCTGGTAGAGGTAGCCCTTTCTTCCTGTCATGGGCACCATGGTTGGCCATATCCTCTCTCAAAGCATCTGGGTTTTCTCTTTTAGGATTTTCTGAGATCCTGAAAAGTTAGCCGGCAAGGGACACAGAGCACAAGCTAAATTGCTCCATGTTTTGCTGTCGCAAGTTTCCCTTGGTATTTGAAATGTCCTTGCCTGCCTGGATCCCTTGCCCGTCTGAAGGTAGTTGCTGTTCTTTGCTATTGTGTCCATCCGTGCTGGGTGGGTGTGGGGTGACTGTCCACCAGCATTTGGTCTGTATGGTCAGGAGCCACCAGTTATGAGAAGTGGGATTGATTATGGTCCAGGATGCAGCGTTTGTGTATTGTGTGGCCTGCATTTCAGCAGCTGGGACATCCCACTTATGTTACTGGCTGAAGAGTGCAGAGTAAGTCCATTTTAACACCTCAGGGTGACAGTCCACAAAAGGGGGCACATCTTTCAGCTGGTTTTCCCCTTTCAGACCACAGTCCTGCTCAGAGAACAGCTTGAGGCCTTTTCACTACAGCTGGGCTCACCCAGGCTCAGAGCTCCCAGGGGACCTGGCCAGGCTGAGACTCATGCAAGGGCACCACAGGCATCTCAAGCTCTGGGGTCTCCTTCTCCCTGACCTTGGTCAGAAGCCTTTGCAGCAGCACCTCAGGGGCCTTGCTTGAAATTTCCTTCCTGTTCCCTCAGGCATTTGTTCAGAGAGAATCCAGCTGTGTCCCCCTAGTACAGGCTCAGAAGTCTGGGGAAAGAGTACTTCTAGAGCAAGTGTGAATAAGCAGATAATTTGACTTTGTCTAGTACCTGTGATTTTTGTCTTCACCTTTTTCTTAATCTGCATTTCTGGGTAACTTTTCCACTTGGGAAACTGTGGAAAAAATGCAGGTGAAACCAGGCTGTCCAACGTCCTTTTGGCAGGTTCTGGGTTGGTGTCCCTGTTCCTAGGGCAGCCATCCATGAGATCTGTGCTTATCTCAGGGACAACATTTAGGTTATTTTTAAAAATGAGATTACTATCCCTTCTACAGAAGCTCTGCCCAGATCCAGAGCTCACTTGCTGTGTTTCCTGACTCTGTATGCTCCTTCCAGAGACTCACCCTTCCCGTTCCTCTTTGATGAGAAATGCTCCGTCTCTTATCTGTGGGGAAGATAAGAGACAACGACTGGGCAAGAGCAGGGCAGGACATTGGTTGTGGCCTCCCTTCCATCACTTCTAGACTCCTTTCCTGCATGCCCCCTGCAGCCCACAACCCCACCTCTACCCCCTTGGGTCTAGTCCCAAAGCCTCAGTCCTTGTGGAACTGTGCAGTGTGGAGATGGGGTGGGTGGTGGATATCTTTGGAAGCAGAAAGTGATGAATCTCTGGGCTGGGTCTTCCTGGGGCATCGGCCCTGGTTGGGGCAGTTTTGGGCAGAGCTTTTCCCAAGTCTTGTGGCCTGCATGGAAACCTGGCTGGGTTTGTGCCATTGCCAGGTTTGGACTTGGAGTGGGTAGACTTTAAGATTTGGAGACACTCAGCCACAGCCAAGTGCCACCTTTGTGCCCTGTGGTCATCACATCTCAAACTCAGCCTTCCCTGGGCTCAGTGTCCCTGTAAGCAAGGTGCTGGTGTGCATGCTTTGACCTTGGAAACCATATCCATGGATTATGAAGATCACTATCTCTGGATGACAAGGGAATGTTTAAGGCTCAGGGGCAGAGAGAAGCTGCTCAGTGCAGCATCCACAAACTCTAAAGATCATCAGTCACCTGGGAAGACCAAACACTGCCAATGTAGGGCAGGATCTGTGGCCACAACATCAGCATCTGTCACCAGACATCCTTGTGGAAATATGACAGAAACCACAGCCAAGAAGTGGCTGCCTGTGCTCTCATCCACCAGTGAAGATGCTTTTATTTGTCAGGGCTCACTTCCAGTTTCTGCCCATCCTAGGCATATTGCTCTACATAGTTTACACTAAATAGTGATGTGTAGCATCCTTGCTTGGCATTATAAAAGTTGGTCTTATCATTAAAAGCCTTTATGCATGTCAGTTCCGTGGCTATGTGATAGTTTGTTGGGCTTACCTATCCATGCCTGGAAGGTTGCTGGATGTCCCTGTGTTGGGAAGTGTGGTTGCTATAAATAACACTGCCATGAACATCTTTGGACATACAGAACCTTCATCTTGGGAGCATTCCCAGGAGAGGGAACGTGGGTTTCCCTTCAGGAGTAGATCCAGAGGCTTGGCTTCAGACTGGCGCCTTTAAGATGTCTATTCAGCTCTGATGTTGAAGCAGGCATATGTGAGCCTCTGCCCCACCACCCAGTCCCAGAACCATCCACATACTCCAGGCCCCCTGGAGACCACAAATTGTAGAAACTCTCAGAATTGGCTGTGGTTACCTGAGTCACCTGTCCTGAGAGGCTCTTCAGGATTTGAAGAGGAGTGGAATACTAATTCTGTAGCCACGATTTTATGCCTTAACTCCCGGTTTCCCTTTGGAGATCTTTGTGGTTCTGATTGACGTTCCTTGGCCACAAGGGACCCCAGGCACATGATTCTGCTCATTTAATGCTTCTCACTTCTGTCCTCACCCTGTTCCTCTTTGCCAAGCAATTAGTAGTGTATTAGCGATGTCAACACTGCTAGTTGACAGTGACAGTTACATGATTAGAGGACGTTGAATCTGTAAGGCTGTGCAGCGACCCTGTCATCAGAGAGGGCCCTTGTGGTGGGAACAGTGGCCCTATGCTTGGTGAGGGCTTTCTGGGTACAGTGCTCTGTGCTAAGCAGATATTCTCACTCATTCCCCAACAGTCCAAGCCATGTGCTTATCTAGGTCCCAGGAAGGGGGTACTGGGACTCAGGAGGGCAGGATACCTATCTTGGTTATGGCTGGTAAGGGCCAGGGCACCAGTGCAGTGCACCCAGCATTGCCCAGCCTGTCTCCTGGCTTGGGCTTATGCCTGGTGCCCTTTGGCTGGGACTTACCTGTCTGCTGATAGTTTCTGTTCACAGGCTTTCCTGTTCCAGGCTGGAAATCCTGGTATGGTGTAGGGCTCTTTCTTTCTTGTACAGGCCAGGCCCTTCTGAGGCCGTCCTTCTGCGACCATAGAGAAACCTACAGTGTTAGTGTGCCATCCCTGGAGGCACCTACCTGGGTCCTGTCCTAACTCAGGGCTGTCCCCAGAGTTCCTCCCTGAGACTAGGTCTTGCAGAGCCAAAGCGAAGACCCTCTCTCTGTCTGTCCAAGATTGCTGGGGGGCCACAGGAGACAGGGCAATGTTCAGTGTCCATGGAGCAGGTGGGCCAGGCAGAAAGCATTTCTGATAGTGCGTAAGTGACACCCTGGACAGATTCTGGTGGAGGGGACTGCAGAGCTCTTGTCCCCAGGTGTCCTGCTGAAATGCCTTCTTCCTCCAGGTGTGCATTGTGCAGAAGCGGGACACAGAGAAGATGTACGCCATGAAGTACATGAACAAGCAGCAGTGCATCGAGCGTGACGAGGTCCGCAATGTCTTCCGAGAGTTAGAAATCCTGCAGGAGATTGAACATGTCTTCCTGGTGAACCTCTGGTGAGCTCACCCCAGGAAGCCCAGGGCTTACTGCAATGGAGATGTGCCTCCCGTGGGGTTTCTAGCCTGAAGTCAGTGGGGAGAGTGTAGGGGCTGACCTTGAGTTTCCTGCAAAAAAAATGAGTACCAAGACCAACTCCAGGAGCCATAGAATCTTGTGGCATCTCCCTGACAAGGAGTTTTCCCTGACCACTGCCACTGCCCGTTGCTGTGTTCTGTGATGTCCTTCCAGATGGCATGGTTCCCGGGCCCTCCATGGAGCACATGGATCCTGGCAGTGAGAGAACCCTGACCCAGCAGTCTTGGAAGGTTTAGGTGCCCTTCCACCACTAGGCACCAAGTATGCTTTAGCCAATCTTACAGAAAGAGGCACCTGACTCCTACTTGGGATCATGAAGAATAAATATGTTCTATTTGACAGTGCACCTGGGGCAGCTATTTCTGAGCTTGGCTCAGAGCCAAAGCCTGTCCTCTGCCCATGTATTTACCTGGGGTCACCGCAATGGGATACAGAACTTTAAAGCTGACAGTGGCCGTTTCCCAGAGACCACACTATATGGCTCAGGAATAGTGTCACATGGCTTTGTCTGTGGTGGCAGGGGACAGTGGGACTGCGTTGAGCTGTGGTGGGAGCCTGCTCTTTCTAGGCAGTGGGCAGAGACAAGAGTGCTGATCAAGGCCATGGGGCTCAGGCATGATGGAACTTTAGCTGCCCTGGCTAAGAGGACAGCACAAGGAGCTCCTTGCCCCTTGCCTGGCCTGTGACCTTGTCTCTGTCTGTGCATGGCCTCTGTTCTCACCCACTGAGGCCCACTGGGTGTTCACTGTTGTTTATTTCAAGATGGACCAAAGAGGCTGGCAGGGCAAGGCAGTGTCTTTGTGATCTGTCTTGTTTTCAGTATCTTGGGGACAGCAGTTTTAAAGTTAGGGACACCAAGTGCCCCTTCACCCTGCCCTTGCCCCACTTAGTAGCCAAGGAGGTCAGGCCTGGGTCAGACCTTCAACCTCAAACAGGGTGATTCTTTCCTTGCTGTGAGGTGGGGCCTAGCCTGCAGTCCCATGGGGACATGGTGTGGAGACTTTTGTGGAGACTTAGATTTCCCTCTTCGGGGGCTCGGGGCTGCTCCTACACCAGCGCTCCTTGGCTCTCTCTGAGTGGCCTCGTGGTCAGTCACATAGGCTGCTGGCTTGGCTTTTCCCCACAACTGTGTATAGTACTAACCTCCCTGTCCTCAGTCCTCTCACTCGGGGAACAGAGATGGAGTGGCCCCCTGTGCTACCATCTGCACCATCTACAAGGGCAGAGCTCTGGCTTGGGGCTGTGAACCATCACTTTGTTGATATGCTTGTCCTTGCCTCAGGCTGCAGTGCTGTCTCACTCCATCGGCCAGCTTGCTGGTGATGTCTCCTGCCACCCCAGAGCCACTCAGGATGGGGCTACCATAACCCCAGGGGTAGCCTTCAGGTGGAGGAGGTTCTGGGTGGAGGAGGCTACTTCCTCTTGTCCACTCCCGGAGCCTGGTATCCTGGGTCCTTTTGCTCTGTGGCTCTCTCCCATTGCCCCTCCCCCGGGTCCCAACCCAAACCACCTTCTCCAGGAAACCCTCCATGAGGAGGCTTGTGGAGGCAGGTAGGGAGCCATCACAGGAAAAGTGAGTGTTTGGATTATTTCTTGAAAGAGCCAGTCATCAAAATGTCTGCGTTACCTCTGAGAGCTCACACACACACAAATTGCAAAGTGGAAGGGGGTCCTTACAGTTATCATTTTTCTATCACCGCCATCATCTTTATCAGCACCACCCACCACGACTAGCATCATCGCCATTATCACCATCCTCATCAACACCGTGGTTACTATGACCATTATCATCACCACCATCACCATCACTGCCATCACCGCCATTACTGCTACCATGATCACCACCATCATCACCATCACCATCACAATCCACTACCACTGTCATCACTATGGCTGCTGGTCATTAAATGCCAGCCTTGTGCCCAACACTGTGCTAAGCATTTCACCCACACTGTCTCATTTGCTTCTTTAGCAATGCTCCAAAGTAGATGTCTTTATTTTCATGCTACAAAAGAAGAAGCCAGGCCAATGTGAAACAACTGAGAGACAGACACTGTAGATCTTCTTTCTATTTGTTACACAGACAGCTCTGGCCCCTCAACTGGGCTATCTCCAGGATAGGCTATTCTTTCTTTCCCCAAGGTCTTAGCTCAGAGCAGCTGTGAGCAAGGTAGAGTCAGTGCCTCAAGCAGGACCCTGGGTGACAGGAATGTGGTGTGGAGCTGTGGTCCTCAGACAGGTGCCTCAGTCACTTTCTTTGATGCTAGGACAAATACCCAACATGCTTGGCTTCACAGAAGAGATGCTTATTCTGGCTCATGGTCCTTAGAAGTTTTAGTCTGCCATTGGCCAGCTCCAGGCGGAAGCTCCATGGTGGAAGAGTCTGGTAGAGTAAAGCTGCTCACCTCATAGCAGCCAAGAAGCAGAGGGAACAAAGGAGGATCCGGGAAGAGAGACAAGCCCTTCCAGATCACACCCCCAGTGACCCACCTCTTCCAACCAGACCCTCCCTCCTAGCAGCAAGTCAGCTATAGCACCTCACGATCCTGTCACCTTCCAAACATCTGAGGCTTTGAGGGCCATTTTAGATCTAAACTAAAGCACGGGGGCTGTGTGTCAGGTGGGGCAGGAGCTGCGACTCTGGCTCCCCAGCCACGCACATGCCGGGACCTCCTTCAATACCACAGGTACTCCTTCCAGGATGAGGAGGACATGTTCATGGTGGTGGACCTGCTTCTGGGTGGGGACCTGCGCTACCACCTGCAGCAGAACGTCCAGTTCTCCGAAGACACAGTGAAGCTGTACATCTGTGAGATGGCCTTGGCCCTAGACTACCTGCGCAGTCAGCACATCATCCACAGGTACGTGCATACCTGATGCGGTGGGGCACTTGCCTGGGGTGGGCAGGACTGGCAGCAACCTTGAACTGGGCCATCTGAGGGGCACCAACACTCCAGTGAACCTGGCCCACCCTTGCCGGAGGACCTGTTTCCAACTGTAGCACCTGGGCGATCAGTGCCTGGCTCCACAGTCAACGCCACCGCTGCATGCCTGAGTCTACCTGGGGAGCACCGTGTCAGAGCAACCTATCTGAGGCTGGACAGAGAGGGCCTTTAGTCTAATGGACGGACCACAGGCCCAGCCACGCTGAGGTGGCATCCCCTGGTCTGTTTAATTGCAGGCTTCCATCTGCCTACCTACCAGGTCCTGGGGGCATTCAAACATTTGCTTGAAGCAGATGAAATCAGGAAGCAGTTGAAATAAGACTTAGAAACTGGGCTAAAATCCTGCAACCACAGAGCAAAATGAAAAGATCTATGTGGTATCATTTAAAATCAAGTAAATCAGATTCTTCCACCTCTGCCCTTGAGGATTCTGTTGTCTGATCGTTATTCAGGCACTTGACAGTCCCAGAGTGCTGACTGGAGTCTGGAACTCAGGGCAGGATGAGGGCTGAGGCAAGGTTATCAGACAGCTGGAGCTCAGCAAGTGCTTCTGCACAGCGCTGGGGCTCTGGCCGAGGGGCCAGCCTGGAGGGCTGGGCGAGGAGGGTCTGCTGTGCTCTCCTGGAGCCTCAGGCTATACGCATCCTTCTGTGTCCAGTTCCAGGCATTCTGCTGTTGGGGCTCAGCAGGTGGGAAGCGAGAGGCTCCCCCAGCCAGCTCCCCAGTGGTTTTGGAGAAGGGTATCATGAGGGGGAGCCTCCTCTGTCCTCAGAAGGCCATCAGGCCCCAGCGCTGTGGCAGGATCCAAGCCAAGCCTCCTTGGCCTGTGCCCTGGTGGGTGGGCATCTTGGGAACCTCGCTGTACCAGAGATCAGGGTAGCAATGGGCTGGCTTCAGAACTTTTCCTTCCTCTTTTTGCCCCGCTAGAGACGTCAAGCCGGACAACATTCTTCTGGATGAACAAGGTGAGAGGCAGGAGCCTGGGGAGCCCTGGCAGGCCACCAGGGAGAGCAGAGGGGTGCTCCTCCATGCAAGGATACAAACCTAGTTCTGGACAGTCACGCCTGTGGCCCTCTCTCACAGGACATGCACACCTGACTGACTTCAACATCGCTACTATCATAAAAGACGGGGAGCGGGCGACAGCGTTAGCTGGCACCAAGCCCTACATGGGTAAGCTCAAGGCCATGCGCATCCGTGCCTGGCCACTCCCCGCCACCCTATGGACCAGTCCTCGTCGCCCTTCCCCCATCAGCCCTGTGGGCCGGGGCCCATGGCTGGAGAGGTTAAGCTGAGCCCTCAAGTCCCAGCAGGAGTGATGGGGCAGACTATCGAGTCATATCCAATGTGTGTCTGGGGGATCTGAGAGTCATGAAATATAGCGATGAGATGGCCCACACACAAACATCAGAGCCATGGAAGCTGCAGTTAAACCAAGCTGTGGCTGCACAAGGTGCTCTCTGGTAGGGGTGTTCTGGAAGGGGGACGGCCCCTCCCCAGGTGGGAAAGGACGGAACCACTTGGGCTTCCCATGTAGCTCTGGAGGTGACCTCCTCTTTGGTGTGACTGGGAGGGCACATGGGTTACAGGGGCCAGTGCCGTCACAGCTCAGCTGCTCCCTCTCCCCTCCTCCCTCTCTCTGAAAGCTCCGGAGATCTTCCACTCTTTTGTCAATGGCGGGACCGGCTACTCCTTCGAGGTGGACTGGTGGTCAGTGGGGGTGATGGCCTATGAGCTGCTGCGAGGATGGGTACGGAGCTCTGTGGCTGTCACTCAGCCCCCCAGACCCCGGCTGGTTGTTCCCCTATGCCTGGGTGGCCTGAGAGGCAAAGAGAGACAAGCCTCCCCTTCCATCCTCAGAGAGGGCCAACACTTTCAGTAAAGTGTCTGGGTTAATGCTTGGTGCCTGAGTAAGTAAAGGAGGGATGAATTTGTGTCGGGTTTCCTAGGGGCAACGGGTGGGACCTGCGCCGGTGCTCTGAAAGGCAGACAAGGCAGTTTCCAGTGTGTGGGGAGAGTTCCTTAGAACTTTGCGCAAAGCAAAGTTGCCAAGTGTTCTGTGTTCTTACCGCTGGAAGTGGGTGCTGCCCCAGGCCTTGTGCGGCCCTTCCTAACCCACCCCAGCCAACCCACAGGACCCCAGCCTTGAGGAGGGCAGCCCCCCTGGCCCTTTCGGGAGCACTGCACCTTGCAGCCAGATGGACATCCAGGCTGTGGTGCAGAGCTTGGTCAATGCAGGGTACCCACTCCTTGGGCTCTTAAGCGGTCAGAAGCTACACTCAGAGCTGTACCAGCACTTGGGTTGGGGGTGGGAGTTCACGATGCTGACACTTGTGCCCGGCGCTATTCTGGAGGTGGTGGGGGTGAAGAGCACCTGGCACAGTGCCTCCCTGCCCACAGAGGCCCTATGACATCCACTCGAGCAACGCCGTGGAGTCACTGGTACAGCTGTTCAGCACTGCGAGCGTCCAGTACCTGCCCACCTGGTCCAAGGAGATGGTGGCCCTGCTGCGGAAGGTGAGCCGCCCCTGTTCTACCCACCAGGAGGTCCACACTGCCCACATTCATTCCCCTCTGAGCTTAGAGCGGCACCCTCTTTCCAGGGCAGGCAGCTCTACTTTCTTGTGGGCTCAGACCCCTTCCCCAGTACTGTGCTACAACCTTCCCCAGGCAGCAGCACTGAGACCCAGCGCTAGGGGAGAGCACGTCTGGCTCCTGCATGTGTGTGTGTTGAGGTCCAGCAGCAGGCAGTGCTGTCCTCTTGTCATGGTGGGCCTGCTTGGACAGTTGCTCTGAGCTATCACTTTGCACGGTTACCTGTCTAATCCTCACAGGGGGTCTGCATGCCAGGACACTGGTCAGCACTCCGCTTCTCAGATGCACACAGTGAAGCAGACTGTAGTAGTCAGACCACCCGCGTGCCGCACATGGGTGGGAGCCAGGCTGGGTCAGGTGGGGCTCCTTGGCGATACCCCTCTGTTGCGGCTGTACACAGTCTGGCCAGCCCTCCTAGGGATCAAGCGAGAAGAGACCAGGTCGCCTGTGCACCTCTCAGGGCCTGGGCTTTGACTATAGCCGTGGAGGGGACATTAGCTGAGCAGGGTCACAGGGCTGTGGTGTTGCTGTCAGTGGTGCCTCCCATCCATGATTCTGGACTGGGCTGGGGCTACTCACTTGGGAGCCATCTTTAAATATGGTGGCTGGTGCATCCAAGAGGAGAGAGTCTGAGCACTACACCCAGGGTCAGGCCTGGGTGCAGAGAGACTGTACCTACCAGGCCCAGCCCGCTCTTGGGCAGGCCGGAGGTGCTAACCACTGTGACTCTGCTGCCCTAGGCAAGCCTGGGTGCCTAGGCTTATCCAGGCATGGAGATTCTGTGCTGCTGTGGAAGTAGTTTTTAGTTACTGTCAGGCCAGCCACTTGCAGTTACAGGATAGCCTTCTCCAGGCCTCTCCTGCCCCCTGCTGGTAAATGATGGCAGGACACCCTGCCGATCCTTTGCTGTCCTTGGTCATTAGGGCTGCTAAGTGTAATTGTCCTTCGGGCCGCATTGCTGGCCTGAATTTCCAATCTTCAGCCCTGACAGATACTTCTGTGGGGTGCTGTGAGCTGGGATAGGTGGCCTGTCTTCTGTAGGGAGGACACTGAGCTCAGAGGCTAGCTGACGTGGACCTTGTTGCAGCTCCTCACTGTGAACCCTGAGCACCGATTCTCCAGCCTCCAGGACATGCAGGCGGCCCCGTCTCTGGCCAATGTGCTATGGGATGATCTGAGCGAGAAGAAGGTGGAGCCGGGCTTCGTGCCTAATGTAAGCCCATGTGCTCAAATGGGTGGTTTGGGGGCCAGGGGAGGTGGCCCCTGCCTGGCAGGCTTAGCACCCTGTCCCTCCACAGAAAGGCCGTCTGCACTGCGATCCTACCTTTGAGCTGGAGGAAATGATCCTGGAGTCAAGGCCCTTGCACAAGAAGAAGAAGCGGCTGGCCAAGAACAAGTCTCGGGACAGCAGCAGAGACAGCTCCCAGTCGGTGGGTACTGGGCACGGAGTCTTCTCTACCACCTGTGCTGTGTTCTGCAAGGCCTCTGCCCAGGGCACACATTTTGAGCGTCCAGTTGGTGATCTTCCCAAAGTTCTGAGAAGGGCTTCCTTCCACCTTCCCAAGTGCCCCTCTCCCCTCCCATTCCTGCAGCTTCTCTGAGCATCTCACTCCTGAAGTAGGCTGAGCAGTGATCACAGGGAGCATCTGCACCGAGCAGGCGAGGGGTCATTTGTGGGAAGCCCTTGACCACATGCTCAGGGGCACAGGCAGTGGAGAGGTGTTGGTGTCGTGTGTTGGTGCTCAGGTGCATTGCTGCCCAGGTGCAGTGGTTCCTGGGCTGTCAGAACAAAGGATTACAAACCAGGGGCTGAAACAACAGAAGTATCTTGTGTCTCGGTGCTGGATGCTCAAGTCCACAGTTAAGGTGTCAGTAGAGCTGTGCTCCCTTGGAAGCCTCCAGAGGAAGGAAAACTCTTCTGCTTCTCTCAGCTTCTGGCAGGGCTGTCGATCCCAAGCATCTGTAGGCACAAAGATGCATCTTCCTGTCCCTACCTTCATGGTCACAGGAGTCTGCTTCTCCTCTGCTCTTCTTACAAGGCCACCAGTTGCATTCAGGACCCACCCTGTCCTGTTATGACCTCATCCTAAGTTGATGACCATCACAAACCCCCTATTTCCAAATAAAGTCTCGCTCCCAGGTTGTGGGGGTTAGGGACTGTTTTTTGGGGAGGGTGATACAGTTCAGCCTGTAACACCAGGAGATAGCTGATGTGCAAAGAGCAACTTTGGTTATAACTATTGATGTCAGGTGACAGTGGTGACAATGGATATGGTCAGTGGCCCCTTTCCCCTGGATCTGAGTGGAGAGCATGCTGGGGTGTCCAGGCCCCCAACTCCTAAGGCAGAGTCCCCACACCTGGTGAGCCTGTATTGTTCTTGAGCATATGGGTATCTGTCTCTTCCCCGCTGATGTGGGGTGCAGGGCTGGGAGCATCCCCTGTATATCACAGTTTTTCAGAGCATTTAGGTCTGAGTTCCCATTTTCCTTCCTAGCAGACTGTTGATGATGACCCCTGGTGTCTATGGATGAAATTGCAGGTAGAGAGCCACAGGCTGAGGCACTGTCACCAGATGTTTGGGAGGTTCTTGCTGGGGTCTTTTGCTTTCCTATGATTAAATATTTAAGTTCCACTCAGAAGGCATCTCCAGATCCAAGGCTTTAGGGTGTAAAAACTGACAGAGGATGGGGGCATAAGTCTGCAGGAAGGAAGCAGGAACAGAGACCAGCTGGCCACACTGACCTCCTCTGGAGGCCATGGATAGGAAAAGGTGGGGTTAGGCACCTGTGGACAGGGTAGGGGGATGGAGGGGCTCAGCATCATCTTGGATCAGTTGGTGGGAGAAGTTTTGGTCCAAGGGTGGGAGATGTTCTGAAAGGCAGCCTGCTGAGAAGAAAAAAATCCCAGTCTTCTATTGGAAAATTAAGAACTTTGAGACAGTTTTGTTTAACAGCTTTGTTTTGCTCTAACTCACTTACCATACACTTCACCCATCTAAAGTGTATGATGCACTAGTTTCTAGCATATTCATGGGGTTGAGGACCCACCACCACTATCTGATTTTGGAACTTTTTTATTTAAAAAGCCCCATACCAAAAAAAAAAAAAAAAAAAGCCTTATACATCAGCAGTCATTCCCCATTCCTCTCTTCTTCCTGCCAGAGGTCCGTGGCAGCTACTCATGTGCTTTCTTTCTCTCTCCATGGATTTGCCTATTCCAGGCATTTAGTAGAAATGAAATCCTCCAGGACATAGTCCTTTGTACCTGACCTCTTTTCATGCGATGGTGACTCCAAAGTCCATCCATGCTATTCCACATGCAGGGCTTCATCACTCTATTGCTGAAGAATATTCTGTTTCTACACTGTGTTTTATTTATGGGAGTATTGCATGTTATTTTTGTCCGTGCCTTCCTCAGTTGGTGAGTATTTGGGCTGTTTCCACTTTGGGACTGTAATGAATAATGTTGCAGTGAACACTGATCTGCATTCCTCCTGTGGATTTACACTTTGATTGTTCCGGGTGTACACCTAGGAATGGTGTCGCACGTCTTTTGTCCATGTTTTCAGGAACCACCACACTGTTCTACAGCAACTGCAACACTTTGGGTTCCACCAACGGCATGAAGGTCTGATGTCTTTATATCCACACCAACTCCGGTTGTTGTCTGGTTTGTTTGCTTTTAGGCATTGCACTGAGTGTGACGTGGTAGTTGGTTTTGATTCACATTTCTCTAACTAATGGTATTGAGCATCAGCTGGGTGCTGTGGGGCATTTCTTTTGAAGAAATGCTTATTTAGCTCTTTTAAGAATTGGGTCATCTTTCCAAATCCACTCTGAAAATACCTTTTAAATGGTATGTTTTAGGCCATTCATCCTTGAAGGGGCTGTTCTATTGTTCGATTAATATCTACTATATTTGTAACTGTTGTCTACTTATATTTGTTCTTTCATTTTTCCACATTGCCTTTTTGGGTTTTCATTAAGTATTTAATGTGCTCCTATTTCATCTCATGTCTTAGCTCATTAACTGTACTTCTTTTAAAAATATTTGGCGTGCTTGCTGTAGAACCTGCAATATGTCTTCAGCTTATCTAAGTTCACCTTCACACAGCTCCCTCCCTCCTCACGTCCAGTAGAGGGGTTGCATAATAAATTCTCCCCAATCTGCCCCTCCCCTCCCATGTCACATCGCTGAACTTCTTTTCACTTACGTATATTCTACAGTTACTCAATACATCATTACTAGTATTACTTCAGACTGTTATCTTTTAGATCAACTAAGAATAAAAATAGATTTTTGAAATCTGTGTGTACTCCCCTAATACTCTGCCTTTTTATGTAGGTTGAGTTTCTAACTTGCATCATTTTTTTCCCCTGACGATTTTTTTAACTAGGGTTTTTTTTTTGTACTGAGGGTTGAACCCATGGTCCTTTGCATTGAACTACATTCCCAGAGTCCCCTTCCTTCCTTCTTTCTTTCTTTCTTTCTTTCTTTCTTTCTTTCTTTCTTTCTTTCTTTCTTTCTTTCACAGAGTACTGGTGTTACAGGCATGCACCACCACACCCAGTTTGAACTTCTCTTAACATTTCTTATAGGACAAATCTACAGTACTGATTTTTCTCCATTTTTATATATCTGTGAAAGCCTTTATTTTGCTTCACATCTGAAGGATAATTGCACTGGATGTGAAATTCTAGGTTAAGTTTTTTTCTTCAGTGCTTTAAATATTTCATTCTACTTTCTTCTTGCGTAGTTTCTGATGAGAAATCAGATAATTCTTTGATTGGCTGTAAGTAGGGGTTTTTTTTTGAGATCTTTCTGGTTTTGGCTTTCTGACCATGTGCCCAGGTACAGATCCCTCCCCTCCTTTTTATTTCTAATTTATCCAGTGTGCTGTTCACTGAGCCTCCTGAGTCTCTAGCTTGGTATCTGTCATTAATTTCAGAAAATTCCCAGCCATTGTTACTTTAAATATTTTTGATGCTCTGTTCTCTGTCTCTTCTCCTGGTATTCTAGTTATTCATTTAATACCTTTTAAACTGTCGCACTGTTTCGGATATTCAGTTCATCTTAAAAATTCTGTCCTCGTATTTCCGCTTGGGGTGTTCCTTCGTATCTTCCTGCTCACTTCATGCTTCTGGTCCAGCGCCCGATGAGCCCGTCAGAGGCATTCTTCATACCCATTGCTGCTTTTGATTTCCGGCATTCCTATCACTTTGCTTGGATGGCCTGTCTGTTCTTGTACTTGCTTACTTTGCTGTCTGAGCCCTCAGTATTCACTTAAAAATACTGTTTAAAATTTCTTCTCTAGTAATTACAATATCTGTGTCATATCTGAGTTTGACTGTGGTGCATGTTTTATGTATTTAGACTGTTTCTTTTCTCTCCCTTGCCTTGTAGCCCCTCGGAATCGTTGCTGAAATCTGGACATGATATATCGGATAGTAGGAGCCCAGGCCGATGGGCCTTTAGCCTGAGGTCCTGTGTTCCTCTGGCCAGGAGTCAGCTCTGTGGTCTCCTGGAGCTGCAGGAGTCAGGGACTTCACATCCCTTTAGTGCCCTTGTTCCTGTTTCCTGTGTTGCCTTTGGGCTCCCTCGAATCCTTGTCAGAGAGGGTCTCTCAGCTCCTTGGGCTGTGGCCTGTCCTTATGCTGGAGCCCTGTGGGTGGGCAAGGGAGTATTGTGCAGCTCGTGATTGCATCCCAGCCCCTGGGAGGCCCATGCCCTTTACAGATGTTTCTCAGATCTTTTCCCTCGGCCCTAGGTAGGACTAGAAAGCTAGAGGAGTTTGCTGTAAGAAAAACTCTCTTTCTCTGAGTCAGAAAAGTCTTTCCCCCTGGAGAACAAATGCTCCATTTGTTAGGGAGAAGGCTCTGGGTGTGTTTCAGGTTCGAATTCTCCCTTCCTTCCCATGTCGGAGTGTGTGGGACTGTGTCTTCGTTACCGCCTGGGGAGATTCTGGGAGGTAAAACTGAGGCAGGGCTGGAGGGCCTGCAAGTGTGGCCCCAGGGGTTTTGAGGTGCGACCTCTGGAAACCTCTCTGGACTGCTGCACAAGTATTGCTCCCTTCCTGACTCCAGTGGCTTTTCTAGGGACGCTGATCTCAGCTGGGACTCATTTGCTTTCCTCTGGATCTGGGCAGCGGTAGCCCCTTGTCCTCTGCTCTCTGATGTGTTCACGAAAAGCGTTGCCTTGCAGTTTGTTCTCCTTTTTTCTAGTTGTAAGAGTGGGAGTGGCAGCTTCTAATTGTTCACATGGCAGAGCCAAAGCCACAAGTCCTTATTCGTCTTTTTGTTGCTTTGGAAGAGTTATTGTTCATACATTCTGGATACAAGTGCCTTGTTAGGTGATTTGCAGATACCTTCCCCCATTTGGTAGGTTGTCTTTACCTTCTGGATGGTGTCACTGTGTGGCAGGAAAGTCTTTGGTTTTGGTGGTATTCAGTGTAGCTACTTCTTTTGTTACTTGTGCGGTCATGTTTAAGAACCAGCACTGAACCTAAGGTCAGAAATTTACTCTTCTGATTTCCTCTAAGCATTTTGTAGCTTTAGCTTTTGTGTTTATACCTAGGGTCCATTTTGAGTTGACTTCTATGAATGGTGTCAGGTAAAGGTCCAGTTTTGCCCTTTTGTATGTGGATGTGCGTTTCTCCCAGCAGCATTTGTTGAAAAGGCTCTTCTTTCCTCATTGAATTGCTTGGCACCGTTTTTTTAAAAAGTCAATAGAATATAAATAGAAGGGTTTATTTATGGACTCACAATTCTCTTCCATTGATTTATATGTCCTGTCCTCAGTGCCAGCACACACTGTCTTGATTACTATTGCTTTGTAGTAAGTTTTGAAATCAGGAACTGTGACTCCTCTTAGATCCTTTTCAAGATCAATAGGCTGTTCTGGGCTCTTTGTGTTTCCACTGAATTCTGAGGGGTCTGGGAATTGTATCTGAGCTTGTTACAAATCTATTGGTGACAAAGTTAAGGATTAGAGCCCTGGTCTCCATTTCCTATGCTCTTTGTCACCGTGGGGGACATCTGAGGCCTAGCACTTAGTCTTGGTGTTTATAGAGGCTCCACTGATGTCTGCCCTGACGTGAGGATTTGTGTGCGTCTGAGTTTCTCAGGAAGTGCATCGAGCAGCAGTCACACGGGGTAGGAGGAGCCAGTAAGGCCTGAACGTCGGGCGGAGCCCTGTGGAGAATGGCTTCAGCCCAAGCCTGCAGGAGTCTCCAGGGGACTGTCCTCCAGCTCCAAGGGAGCTGCATATCCCCATTTCTGTGCCCATAAGGGCCCAGAGAAACCTGTTTCTGTGGCTGTTTAGCTCTGTGTGTGTGTGTGTGTGTGTGTGTGTGTGTGTGTGTTGGCAAAGGGCTCTGCCAGCCCACAGCATGTCACTGAAGAACAGTCACAGATGGGTGTGGTGCTCAGAATGAAGCCGACAGAACCAGGGTGAGACAGACACCACAGAAGGCTTCCTGCTGACAGCATCTTGAGCCACAGAAGAGAAGAAGGCTTCGTGGGAAGCAGTCGCATGGTGCTGCACTCAGTGCTTGTGATAGCCGACCTCTTGTGCCACTCAATGCCACTTTCTCTAGATATTTTTGGAGCTGCTTCTCTTGGGGGACTTTTCCCCCTAGGAAGTTTATATAGGGAAGTGTTTCCTCCTGAGAAAAGTTTCTATGTGGAAGGTTAGGAGATGGACTACACTGCCGCCGTAGAGCTGCACAGGTACTGATTCTCACTGTCTGCGCCCTTCAGTGCCATCCTGGTTCCTCCTCAGCCTCACGTCACACCTGTGTCAATCTTAGCATCTCACTGGCTGAGTTCTGCCTCAGGCCATGACTTAGGTCCTTATGCCTCTGGTCACTTTTACCTTCTCAGACCAGAGTTTGTGTACCTATCCACCATCAAAATGAGGCCGGGGAATACTAAGACGCAGCCAGGTGAGTTACCTGGGATCTTGGGGCAAAACACGACTTCTTCTTGATGATTACAGTCCAGTCCCCTGCCAGGATGGCGACTCCCTTCAGAACAGCCACGGTGACATGCCGACGTGCTGGGGGCAGGTAGCTACATGAAGGCGGAGAGGTTCACACAGACAGCGCTGGATACCTACAGGGAGCTCCCCTCAGGCCTTCATCCAGATATCACCCTGCACCACTGCGTGCACTGTGAGGAGACCCCTGAGACGGGACAAAACCACCGGAAGGGGTCATGAAGAGTAACTGCTGCACTTACCTGGGGCTGGTTCCTGCTTCTACCAGGCTGCATAAAAACTTCACAATATCAGGAAATGAGGGGAGCACTCGAAAGGGCATTGTTCAGGTGTCAGGAACGATTAGCTGCTTCCCAAACTCAAAGGCACCTGCCACATCCTCCTGAGCTTTGTCGGATTTATTTCCCACACTCTTGGACATGTGACTTACAAGGACACCCTGAGGACCTGCCACTTCCTGTCCTCATACAGAATTGACATAATGCTCTCTGTAGAGTGGATGAGTGGATGTCAGGTGGTCAAGGTTCGGACTAGATTGTGACAGAGGACAGAACAAGAGCGTGCAAGTACACTGTTGTCCTTCCCGGGTGAACGCAGACTGTTTCTGTGCTCCTTGCTGACAGGTAGTGGAAAGAATGCTTCGGTCACACAGTGGCCACATGCCAGAGGCCCTGCCAGTCTGGTCTGGTAGAGTCTACCCTTGGCTCAGGAGCCATAGCGGGAGCTACCATGAGGTTGAATGTGGCCTTGCCACCATTGCTTGTCATCATCCACGGGATTCTTGAAGGACTAGACTTGTGAATTCAATGGAAAATTCATGGGATCACTCGAACCCTGAAGGTTGAAAGATAAAGTTCACAAGTCTTTGACCACGGTCCCTCTCAGTCACCCCATCCTGGGCACGACGTTGTTTTTCATTTATTATCTAGGCTGGTTTGTTGGGGTTGGGGGGAAGTTCCAACTACAGTAGTTGTTACGACAGCTCTATTGAGGTATCACTGAAGTATACACATTGTGAATAGTCAAGCTGTACAATTTGAAGTTTTAATATAAGTATACATTGTGAAAGCATCACTACAAATAAGCTAACTAACATCCCCATCACCTCTGTGTCATTACTGCCCTGTAATGATATGTATGTGTGTGTGGGACTCATGGAGAGAAGATTTAAAGATCTATCCTTTCAGCAGATTTCAAGTATGCAACACAGCATTGTTAACTCTCTCCACCATGCTGTGTATTACGTCTCCAGAGCTTACTCATTTGAGTAACTGAAACTTTACCTTTGACCAGAATCTCCCCATCTCCCCTCCCTCCATTACAGTAGCTGTCACCCACAGATGCAGAAGCCAACCTAAGAGTTCAACCAGGTTCCAAATGTGTCACCTGGATCCTGCCTTCAGTGGTTATGCAAAATAGCAGTTGGTGGGCCTATAGCTGGATTTGAGTCAGTCATCATCTCAGACACTGTTTCCAGCAGACCTGGAGCCTCCCTGGGGAGGAAATGGCCCTGGGTACCCATGCTGGGTACATTTGCTATGAAAGATCTGGGCCTTCCTCACCACGGAACCATCACCCCTTCTGTCTATGGGTTCTAGGCATGAAAATTGAATCAGATTGGAAAGCAGGCAGGTATTGGCTTCTAAACAAGATACTGAAAGCCTTCGCCTATGCCCCTTGGGTCTGTGTATGACATTAGTGTCTCCCTCTGATCCCTAGAACACCAGGCTTTATTGGACATCATCACAGATCTGCATATACCCCACTGGCTGTCAGCGCAGATTTATCCACATTTTCCTGCAGGTTAAATTCAGCCACCTGACTCATGTTTCTCTCATGCCATCACACCCGCACACAGATGTGCGGGGACTCAGTTCTGTAATGGTGATCCCATCCTAATGCCCCCTCCTCTGATCATTCATTATTACCCTACTGAGAGGTACATCCTGGGGGTGCTTCAGGAGAACCTGGTCACCTGGTAGATCCCTGCATCTTTCATCTTGAGCTACTGATTCACTCTCTAAGGTTTTCATCCCTTCTCAGCACTATTTCAAGAATGCTCTAGAATCTCCACCAGCCATCATTTCTTCCAAATTCTGAAGATATGTACCATAGCATATCATAACTTGATGCAGGGGTTCTTGCCAGGAAATGGATTCCAAGCCATGGGAGGAAGTCAGTAGGGATCCCTGCCTGACCTCCTACTCCCTACCTGTACCCCATCTGCAGCCCTCAAAGAGCACTGCTGGACTGGCTGTCCTAGCAGTACATATTGTCCAGGTCCTGCAGCTCTTCCTAGCTGGGCCACCTGCCGCAAGGCCTAGTTATTGTTCTGAGCAAGGCCAGTAGGTGGAGGGAGGTCCTGAGGGGTGAGTGTGCCTTGCAAGGCTCCTGTTGTGGTTGTAACCTGCATTCCACAGGGACAAATCTATTCCTCTCTAGCAAGGCCCAGGGACCATCTGCCACTTAGTACAGGGGTGCCAGGGGTCAGTGATCTCCTGTGTCCTGTCCTCTCCCAAGTTTCAGAGGACAACTTCTCTGTAGGGTCTTGGCCAAAACTCTGCAAGGCTGTGAGTCCAGCCTTCTCTGAAATCCTGCTGCTCTCAGAATTGAACAGTCTTCATTGTGGTCCACGCTTGAGCTGCAAGAAATGTGGGTGGGGAGAGGCATTTGAACACTGCCACAGAGAAAGGAGGTCCTTCAGCAGCCTATGTCCCAGGTGTGCCCTGGGGGTGCGAGTGGAATCTGGGGAACATGCCGCAGAGCTTATTGATGTGCTTTCCTGTCCCCAGGAGAACGATTACCTCCAGGACTGCCTTGATGCCATCCAGCAGGACTTCGTGATTTTTAACAGAGAAAAGTGAGTGTGTATGTGAGTGTGGGGGTTGGGGAAGAGGTGATGGGAGAGTTGATGGGAATAGAGAGGGGAAAATTAGGCCAAGATTTTCTTGGCCACTAAAGCCCGGAGACCCCAGCATCTGTGTGGCATCAGTGGCCTGGGATGCTGGATCCCTGCTCTTTTGGGAAGGCCTAGAAGTGGCCATGGAGGGGAGAGGTTGGAGACCCCTGTACAGACTCCCGCGGGGCACTGCCTGGGTATCCCTTAGTTAGAAATGGGGCCAGTGGCCAGAATCTGGGGGACAGACACTTGGCACATTACTCAGATCAGGGTGGACTCACATCAGCTCCTGCAGCTCACTCATTCACTCTGCAAACCTTTCCTGAGTGTCAGTAGGAATGGGACAGAAAGGCCACAGATGGCTGATGAGGTAGGACAGACCACAGACAGCTAACCTCTGCCTCAGTGAGAGGAGGAAGCACTGTGCAGTGGAGCTGGAGGAGGAGGGGATGGTCCCTGTGCCTGGAGAGGTAGACAACTTCCCCGGGGGAGGCAGCTCTGCGCTAGGCCGGAAGAATGCACAGGATGGTGTAGGGACTAGCTGAGGACACTGGCCCCATCCTGGGGGTCAGAGAACAGGATCAAGAACTATCTTGTTCAAGCTATTGGAAAAGCCTTATTCCAAAATATCTGATCCCTAGAATGGGCACTAAGCCAGGCCTCCCTTCAGCATTCAACTGGGCATGAACTGAAATTCGCCAACCTGCTGCTTCCAGGTCCAGAGACATCCCCATGACCCTCATTCCCCTTGGGCCCCATGGCCCCTCTCAGGCTCCCAGTCATGTCCTGAATGCCCCAGAGTAGGGCTTCTGTCCAGGGAGATGCCTAACACTTGGCCCGCGTGTGGGTACCTCATACCAAGTCCCTGAGAGACACATCCCAGAGTCTCTGCAAGAGCAGCCCTGGGCAGTGGTGCGGCCATCCCTGCACCAGGTGGGCTGCATAGGCACCTGTGTTCCCCCAGGCTGAAGAGGAGCCAGGACCTCACTAACGAGCCTCTTACAGCCCCTGAGACTGGTGATGCAGCAGAGCCCATGGCGGACAGCGAGACGGAGAGTGTGGCCTTGCCTATGTGTGGCTCCATCTGCCCCTCAGGTGGGAGCAGCTAGGCCGCCTGGGTGGTGTCCAAGGGTAGTTGACTCTCAGGCTGCTTTGGAGACTTAGATCTGCCACAGGGAGGAGGCATCAGGGCCAAGGATCTGCCCGAGAGCCTGCCCTCAAGGCTGGCAGGAGCTGTGGAGGGTGGCAGGTGAGCCAAGCTGGCCAGTGCCACCTGGGCCCCAGTTACTTGCAGTGTGGAGGAAGGGATGCCATAGCCCGGCCCTCTGACCACCCGCTGGCAGGTCACAGGGGGCCAGGGGCAGCACGGTGGCACAGAAGCCCTCTGCTCCCTATGGACTCGGCTGTACATAGCACACGGCCTTGTTACCAGGCCCTGCCAAAGCTTGTGCACGAGACTGGGGGTGCGGCTCAGTTCCGCTCCATTCTTGTACATCCGAGGCAGGGGCTGTGGGGTGGGAGTGGGTGGGAAGGCGAAGAATGTTTTCTAGCTACACATTGTTGCGGCAGTTTCTGCTGTGTTTCTGTATAGTTTTCACCTCTGAGAATTACATATGAGAACTGCTCTGTCCAGTGGTCTGTGTGTTCTTTGCCTGTGGTGTGGTGAGGCCCAGTGCCTGCGGTTTTACCTAGAGAAGGCCTGTCCAGACTTGGGCAGCCAGGATGGGGGCCCTGTGGGACAGCTTTTGCTGGACAAAGCCCCACCAAGACCCAGGACTGTGGCCTTGGAGTGACTGCCCTGGTCTTTACATAGCCTGGGGCCACAGGGCTGCTGACGGTAACTTGGAGGTGGGGTGAGGTGGAGGTGACATGAAGCCCAGGAGCCCCCAGTGGTGTCCCACACAGTGCAGCTCCCGCAGGGCTGGACAGCAGCAATCCATGGGCCTCTCACTGCTGCCCTGAGGTTCTGTGGTTAGAATGGCAGTAAGGCAAATGGGCTGCACCCGCTCCAGACTGGCCTGCCCAGGTCTCCTTAGGGGCAATCAGTGTGCCACGCTTGTGGCTCTCCCAGGATAGTGGCCACCCCAGACCTGTGTCTGTGGAGCCAGCTCCACCCCCAGGAAACACTCCACTCCTGCTTGGTGGAGCTATGAAATGACGAAGGGCCGGAATGATCGCAGAATCCTGGAGGAAGAACTGGCTGTGCTTCCAAGTTTCCAGAAGAGCAGGCGGCTGACCAGTGGGAGCTGACCACTGGTTCTGCAGCAAGGCCTGGGCCTCAGCAGCTCAATGTGGTGCACACACAAGGGGGGATGTGACACCCAGTTCACCACCAGGAGGGCAGCATGGTCACAGCCAGGTGACGGCTCCGGCGTGGCCCCAGAGGTGGCTGTGTTCTGGACGAGGGAGAAGTTCAGGGTCTTGTATGAATGAATGTGTAATGCTGAGCATGTTTCAGGAACGATGCTCCTTTCCATGACGCTGGCAGGGATGGGGTGTCATCAGTTCCCTTAATCACCCTCTCAAGAGAGAGGGAGAGAGACACTGACTGGGTGGATACCAGCCTCCATGGACTCTGGTGCCAAGGCCTCACTGACCAAGTACATCTGGACGAAAGGGAACCCAGGAAGGAAGTAGCTGGACACCAGGAGGGCCCTCCTCCATGGGAGCTGCTAAAACCAGTGCTTTGAAGGAGGCCTAATCCAAACCTGACCTGTCAGTGATTGCAGGGGAAGCACGAACACCTGGCAGGGGCCAGAGAGCAGCTGCAGTTAGCCAGAGAGACCCCCTGGGCCGGGAACATCCCACCTGGAGTACACACTAGCCACATCTTTGTGAAAAAGAGGCTGAGGCCAGGCAGCACAGTTCGGACTTCCAGGGTTCTGAGGCTGCTCTGCATCAGGCCAGTGCCAACTGCCCAGGCTGGCCTCGCCCCTCTAGCTACCTTCAGGTGCCCATGGACCTTGCCAGTGGAGCTTTCTGAGGTAGTTTGCAGCCAGACAGCCAGAGTGGGTGTGGGGATCCTCACCGTGACCACCTGGCTGTACATCACAGCCTGCATTCCTGCAGCTCCTCCCACCATTGAGGCCCAGCCTTCCCCGGGCTCCACACAGGCAGAGCTGCACCGCAGGACACGTCTGTGCAAGCCTTTCAGTGACCGTGAGGCCAGGGAAAGTGGTGGCAAAGGGCACCCAGGTCAGCACAGCAACTGCTCAAGGGGGGTGTGTGAGGCGAGGAAGCCAGAGCTGTCCACACACATGGGCTCCTAACCCAGACATCTTTAATTCACCTGACTCACGCTGGGCTGAGACAGTGCCCACCGTCTGGGGTGGCAGCATGCATAGGTTGTTGGCTGGCTACAGTTTCCTCACTGTACAAAACTGCTATGCTAATAAACCTATGGAAATACATATTTTATAGTAAAAGGAGAGCATCTTGGCTAAAGGATCTCGAAACTTCCCTGGAGATGGGCTCCCATGGAAGCTCGGGTTTGGTCCCTGGAAGTGTGTACACGAGTCCCTGCTCAGAAGGGAGCTGACCTACGCTAAGTTCCTGGTGGATCCCTGAAGTCACAGCAGCTCTATGAGGCTGGAAGCTCCACTTGCCCACTCTCTTCCCCATGGCAGGGGGATGAGGTAACAGGCCCCTGAGGGGCAGCTGTGCCTCTGTGCCACAGGGCAGGCAGGTGTGCTTAGGCAGTGATTCCTAATGGGGAGGAGGCAGCACACGAGCCTGGACCCAGCCCCTTGTGGGTTCACAAGTTCAAAGCCCCAGCCAGCTACTCCCATGATCAAGCTCCCAGGGGTTCCCACACCTTAATGGAGGGCCCCTGCCTTCACGCTGGAGCTGACTAGGCATTGGGGCACCTAGCACCCAGGCTGGGGACCACCTGACCTGTCTAGCCTCCTCACCCTGGCAGTGAAATCTCCCCAAATTCAGCCCTCTTGAGGGGGCTCCTCATAATAGGACCTGGGACCCCAAAAGGAGAGCTATGGGGAAGGGAAAGGCAAGGAAGAGCACCTTTCAAAGTAATTTCTACAAAGGAAAGAGCTAACTGAGGTGAGTGGTCTTCACACCACCCGCCAGGTAAGGGTCAGCACCATTGTGCTGGACCCCAAGTCCTGGAAGTCTAGGAAAGAGAGGTGATGTTTGAACGTCCACCAGGGGGCGCCATGATCTTCTGAGCAGTTCGTCTGGCGATGTGATCATCTGCCTGAGACCCTGAAGAAAAGGGAAAGCGGGTGTGGTAAGGAGAATGAAGCACTGTGGAGGTTCCCTTTGATCCAGGAGCGGGAGGCAGGCAGGGCTCCTGCGCCATGAGGTGAGGGCTACAGAGCCCCACCCACGCTCACACAATGTGTACCCAAGACTGCCTTGGCTCCCTAGGGCTGTGGCTGGTAGACCCCGTGGCTGGGCAGGCTCCCCCATCCTTGTGGCGCTTGGACACAGAAAATACACGATGACTCCCTAAGATCTATGGGGCTTGCAGGAACCCTTCTGCCTCATCTCTCTCATGGGTCCGTATGATGGAGAAGGCTCCCCACAACTGCAAGACAGTGTCAGATTCTGAGGAACTTGCCCCTGGTCCTGCGTCCCAAGCATGTGACCAGGGACTACCGGCACTGTCCCAAGCAGGAGAATGAGACAGCATTAGGCTGGTTTGGCCCTCAGCCAAGGGTGGGGAAGGAGAGGGAGAGGTCTGGCTTCAGTTTGCAGGGAGAACCTGGGTCCTCAAGGCTTCTGGCTGCTCCTCAGCTCACAGCCTGCAGGAGGCACAGCAGAGGACCTACCCAGAGGCTGCATTCTGGCCATCAGCACCTCCAGGCCTGTGCCCTCCCAGGCATTTCAGTACACACAGCTCGGACCCATTCCTGAGGCCTCACGGTGACTCAGGCTGGCTGGTCTGGGGGAGCTGGATTCCTATGGAATATGTGAGTCCCCGGAGAGGGGCCCCCTTGCCTGCCATGGAGGCTGAGCACCGCATGCTCAGCCCTGGGCTCAGTGAGAGCCTGCATTCCCAATGTGTTGAGGTGGGGAGTGTACCACGGCAGCTTCAGGGCAGGAAGGGACTCCCCAGCTTGTGCTCACACTGCTTTGCCCCTCCCAAGGCCCCGCATTAGCATGTCCAGCACTCCCCAGCCCCTACCCTGGTAGCTGCCATGTGCAGACACAGGTATGGGCAGCCCTGCTGCCTTCAACAAACTCGGTAACACTCAGGCACACACTGGGCCCTGGTGCCTGAGGCCTGGTAGCCCCAAACAGGCTCCCTACACCTCAGAATCTGGCAGCAGAGCCTCTGAACCTGCGCTTCAGGCTCAACTCACCAGATAGGCTGAACCCCGACTGGTGCAGGTTGCGCACAGGTGGCACTGAGATCTTGCCTGGGCAGGACGCACGGGCCTGGGTGCCGCTCCCCGGCTTGGCAGGTACCATTACCTCATGGACCGGCCCATCATAGAGGCCTCGGGGCACGCCATGGATCTCTGCCAGCTGTGGGCCAGGAAGGCTGGGTGTGAGGGGACTGAGCCACCAGTACCTGGAGGGCAGCACCCCTGCCTGAAAGGCGTGCTGTCCTCTGTACCCCTACCCTACCCAGCTCAGGAGTACCAGGCTCACCTCCAACAGTGCACCCATACAACCCAGACACACAGGCCTCCGTCCTTGAAGTTCCCTCTCTCTGTACACACACCTGCTCCCCCACCTCTATATCTACAGACTTGTGCACGCACCCCCTCCCTGCAGCTTCCGTGCTCATGTACACGCACACAGCTGCAACCTCGGCAGCAGAAGCAAAGCATTTTCCAGGAACCCCAGGAAGCCGTGACACCCCACCCCTCAGGAGGCAGGGCGATGGGAGATGTGCCCTGGGCCCGGACCAGTGCCTTGCCCTGAGCGCCTCTCCACTCAAACCCTGGGGGAGGAGGTAGCATCCCAGGGTCAGATCTGGGCCTGCACCTCCGAGGGCTCTGACAGCCTTGACGGTTGTGTCTTTGCAAGTTAGCAGGGATGCCACTCTCCTGGGATGGGAGAAAACAGTGCAAGACCCTACCCCAGGAACCCCCCCCCTCAGCCATGCTCAATGCCGGCACACCCCAGAGTTCCACACCCCCTGAACACCTAAAGCAGAGCTGGGATAAAGTTCACTAGTGTGTGCAGTGACAGTTACAGTGTCCTGTGCATGGGTATCTGTGTGTGTGTAAGGTGTGTGTGAGAGAAGCACCAGTGGCTGGGGCAGACACGTGCTAGACAGAGATGTACATGGACTGGCGGGAGGGGGAAGTAAGCTGGCAGCTGACCATGGGACACAGAAGATCTCTGGCCATAGATGGCCTCCTTGCCCTCTTCCTTACATCAGGCTCTGCCCCACTTACAGCCAACAGGCCCAGGGCAAGCAATGGGCACCACTCGGGTCCAGGGCCAGGCTGGCCAGGAGCAAACCTCACACTGAGGGGCTCCTGGAACCTGGACTGAGGACTGCACACCCACCCACCCACAAGAGCCCTGCAGGCCCAACCCCTACTCTGTTGCGGGCCTTTATCCTCTTGTAGACAAAATCTGGGAATGTCTTCCGAGGAATGAAGCGGCCAGACCCGGGGACAGCAGACAGATTCCCATCCTCCAGCACGACTCTGCCTTGGCTGATGACCACCGTAGGGGCTCCTCGGCACTCGACTCCTTCAAAAATGTTGTACTCCACATTCTGGGGAGAGAGGCCTGTGGGTCTAGTGTCCTTCAGTCCTGCCCTATTCAGCCACCAGAGCACTTCTGGGGTGAAGGGAGCCTGTGTGTGCTGGTCCAAGAGCAGCAACAAGATGCAACTGATGCAGACTGGCAGGTATTGAGAAGCAACAGCCCCTCACCCTCTAGGTATCTGAGTCACATGGTTTTTACAGGGAGCTTGGGCAGCAGCAAACATGAGTACCCACCCCTGCCCCGGCAGGCACAGCTCCTCTGCCCAGTGTCCTCCTCTGTATGATGGGATGACCAGCCTCACCACACACCTCTCAGGGAAGCAGGCAGGTGAGATGGCTGGGCCAGAGACAGGTAGGCTGCTGGGTCATGTTGGGGGGAATGCAGTCTCCATCCCTGGAACTGCCCTGGGAAAGCGCCTTGGATCCCAGCATGGGAGAGGGTTTGGGCCTTCTTACCACATTGTGGGTCTTGGCAGAGATGATCTTTGTGGCCCTGGGATTCCAGATAACCAGGTCAGCATCGGAGCCCACAGCTACTCGCCCCTTCCTTGGGTAAAAATTGAAGATTTTGGCAGCATTTGTACTGGTCACCGCAACAAATTCATTCTCGTCCATTTTCCCGGAGGCCTGAGAATCAAGAAGGCCAGCTGAGGGGAGAACTGGGTCTGGTGTCCTATGAATGTCACGAAGGTACCCCAGGCAACTGGGGCCAGCTGGGGACTCAACACAGCCTCCTTGCTATGGCAACGCCCCAGGCTCAGCCCAGGCCGGGGCACCACTGTGCTGTGACAGGCAAGCCAGCTGGTGTGATCATTCCGGGGATGAAGGCTCACTTCTGGGCTCATTTTGTGGGTAAATGGCGAGGCTTTGATAACAATGTCAGTGTTCCTTGAAGGACCATGACAGTCTCCCTGTGGGGCAGCAGATGAGGTAAGTGCTCACAGAAGGGGCAGGACACAGGGAAGGATGACCGAAGACAAGGGACCTGCTCTTCCCTGAGTGTATAAATACATTTTTTTAAAAAAATAATTTTTAATTGACAATAATGTACATATTTATGGGGTACAAGGTAACATTTTGATACATGTACACGATGTTAAAATCTGTAGGGAAGGTAGAAGGTTAATGGCTGCCCCACAGTCAGCTGTCTTGCCTGGAGGGTTCAGACAGAGTATCTCCAGGCCCTGCAGAGCAGAGTGGGATGGGGCCCAACCTCTTATCTCAACAGTGTTTCTGGCTGTCAAGGGCCCCCCTCAGAATGCCACAGACAGCCCCAGGCCCGGACTCACCACGCACTTCTCCCAGACCACAGACATGCGCTCCTCAACACCATTGGTGCCCTCGGGGATCAGTGTGAAGTTGTCTTTACCAACCGCCTTCTGGGCAGTAGTGAAGGTACAGTGGGCGCTGCCTGTCACCTGGAGGTCCCCACTGGAAATAAGACAGGGTCAGAAGAGCCCACGGGACCTGGCCCTCCGCAGCAAGCAGCACGGCCACATGGCTGCCTGAGTGGTCCTGATGCAGAGCAGGGGAAGGCATGGACAGGCTGCGAGGGGCCAAGAGTGAGGTGACAGCTGCTGTGTGCAAAGCCCCAGCTGGAACCAAAGGGCTCCATACCTCCCCCACCGTCTACCACTTTGCGGGACCCCTGGGCTCATATGAAAGAGATGCACTGTGGTGGGCAGGCGTGGAGCCCACATACTGGCCTGGGCTTCTGTGGGTGGCTGCTCACCTGGACAGCAGGGAGGTAAGGTGGTCTGCAGTGGTGGGGTCCGGGTTGATGGGGGGCGAGGTGACAAAGGCTGCAGCCTTTGCCCAGTTCTTGCTCCAGTAGTGTGAGCCGTCAGCACCCAGGCTGGCAGTGATGGGCTCCCCAAACACGACCACTCCTGCAGGGAGCAAGACTCGTGACAAGTGCCCCCTGCCAGTCTGTACACTTCCAGAGACCAGAGCACTGCCATTGCTCACAACCCCTATGACCTGTTGCTTTCCTTGTCTTCCCTTCTGGGACCCTGGCCAGGAGGCCAGATATCAGCCCTAGGGGTCCTTTGGGGCAGGGTCTGCAGTGGCTAACAGTGAGTTTTCTCCATACTCCTGGGCGCTGACACCCCAGCTGACCACAGTGGGCCAGCAGGCCGAGTGAGAAGTAATGCCCACCCAGCCCGCCACAGCCTGTCCATGTCCCCTGGCCAGGGCTTCAGTCAAGGGCTCTGGCTCCAGGTTGAGGTGGTTCCCACCAGTGATCAAGAAAGAAATGCCAAGTTCAGTGTGGTGGGGGTGCCCTGGCAGAGCCACCGTGCTGCAGGGCGGCTTGTGGGTGCAGAAGGGAGGCCCCTAGGCTAGCCCCTGCAGAGCTGCTCACCCTGTGCCTAGTAAAGCCATGTACCCTCTCCCTCTTAACGGAGTGAGTTTCTGTTTCAATCCTCGATGAAGAGAACAGGTCCAGGTGTACATGCACACCCACTCCAGGGCCCGCCAAAGCCTCAGGGCAGATCCAGGAAATGAGTTCTTTTTATGAGACTCATGAGACAGGGAAATAAACACCACATTCTCAGTCCTTCTTGCAGATGCTACCTCTTTTATCCACCATCTGGTCCTCCGCCCCTTCTCTGGGTTCTCTTCAGTGGTTTCTGTTGGGACCTTCATGGTCCAGCCCCTGCTGGGTGAGCTGTGGGTGCCCACCTGCCAGGCTTCTGTGCTGTCTCCAGCTGGGCAGGTGTTCTGTGGGCAGGGAGCACCCCAGCCTTGGGGTACAAGGTACACCCCAGATCTTGATGTATAACAAATGTTAATGTGGGGACCTTCTGGGGAACTAGAAACTGCTCTCTCTTAGACAGACAGACAGATGGACACATGCGTTCAGCATAATTCTGTCCCTCACTCCCATGGAAACAGATGAATAGGGCGTATGGTTTTCTGCAAGGCTCCCTGATGGGAAGCTGCTGCTCCAACAAGGCTGAAGACTTGGGTCCAGCCCCTGCCCCTCCGGGAGACTCAGGGCTCCTGTATCCCCCTTGGGCTGCACTTCTGGTGCAACCTCAGCAGGAGATACCCCAGGAAGAGGGCAGGCCAGGCCACAGGCTTTCTTCTGTCAGGCCTGTCCTCCTCACCCGCTTCACCACCTGAGGGCCCTTGAACCAGCCAGTCGGTCCCCCAAGAGGCTGAGACTATGCCCTCAATTCAGCATGCTGGGAGGAGGGCTGGGCACTCACCCCTGCGCTTGGCTTGGGCAACCACGTCAGCTGCACCCTTGCTCATCACCTTGGTGACGTACAGCGGGCAGTTGGCCTGCTTGGCGATGGTGACAGCGCGGTACACAGCCTCAGCCTCTACCTGGGGATGGGTGGGGCGAATGAGCAGCCAAGCCACAAGAGGGCCCTGGGTTGGCCACAGATCACCCAAGAGATTCTGGGCCTAGCGAGTCTCCCCTGGGTTCAGGGCCCAGCGAAGGCCTGCCCACACTGTCTTCTCAGCTTCAGGGAAAGGCCACAGCATAAACAGCGCTTATAGGAAACGTGTGCTCAGCAGGGGACGCTGCTGGTATCTGCCCCCCAGATGAGGGTGGGGTAAGTACAGCGCTGCCCAGATCACAAAACCAGGATGAAGCACAGCCTGGCCCCAGGTGGTGATGCCAGGCTGGGGGTGAATTTGGCCGCAGGGGCATTCCTGCACTCTGGGCAGCCACAGACTTACCTCCTCAGGGTGGCTGAGCACATGGCCCTCAGGGCCAGTAATGCCTCGCTCCAGCAGCCGCTTCTGCTCCTAAATAAACCAACAGGATGCCTTGCTCCAGCCCAAAAGGGTGCCAGAACCCTGGATGTGAAGTCCACGGCTGGCAGGTCCTGCTTTTGGAGTGGAGTCCTGGGCCACCAGGACACATCCCCAACATTGCCCAGCCATGACAAACTCACAGAGGAAGGGGTGCCTTTGGATGCTTCAGCTAAAGGGGACCCTCTGGCCGGGGATCATGCTGTCCTACCTCACAGCCCCAGGACTACCTGGGGTGAGTTTGAAGAACACAGATGCTAAGCCAACACCAGGTCACTGGCGGGAAGGGAAATGAGGCTTAAGCACGTGGGAGAAGTCCTAACTCAAGAGGGCCTCAATCCCCAGGGCCAAGCCTGGGGTACTGGGAAATTCCCAGTCCTGGGCCCTCAGCAATGAGGTGGTGCTGGGGTATTTTAATAAGAAGTGTGGTGATTATAGAAAAATCTGTATTGTGGCTTCAAAGGCTGCCAGGATCCCCAATTCATTTGACTTTTTATCCTGGGCAAGAAGTTATGTACAGTAATACACTTAATATTCCCTCCCTCAAGTTTATAAGGTTATGTGCTCCCACTGAGTATTATCCAGATCCACCCCTCACCCCCAGCCCCCCAGGAACGCACCCCCCCCAGGCAGTGCCATCCCTGCAGTACCTCCTCCACGATGTCCCCATTCTCTGCGTGCACCTGGGCCAAGGCTCCCAGGTCACGGATGATACTGAAGATCTCATACATCTGGGAAGAGAAATGGACAGGAGCCCAAGTCTGTAGGGCCACATCTGCTCCAGAAGTGGCCTAAAACACTACTGCTTGTTCCCTTTTCTCTGTACCTGCCCTTACCTGGCCATCAGTACACTGGCACCTGTCCTTGTATGCCATGAAGACTAGGAAGGAATTCACACCTGGAGGAGAGGAAGGAGAGGGTCAGACAATCCAAGGAGCCTCTGCTGCTCGCCACTTTCCAGAGGTATCCAGAGCCGAGGGGTTGTGCCAAATGGCATAGCCACCCTGCACTGCAGGCATATCCCTCCCCACACCTATAAATAAGATGGCCCACATGGATGGAATAGGCTATTCCTGCCTGCTCCTTATACACTGGGTTCAGGACCCATTGCTCACCCAGTGGCAGAGGCAGGTGAGAACCCCTCACACCTGTCTAAAAGACTTCCACCCTTGCTAGAGACAGAGCATAGTGACAGGTTTGCTGTCTGAGCGCCAGCAACTCTCTGCAGTAAATACAGCCCAACCTGATACACTAGGGGAGACTCATGTGGGGCATCTACTGTGTCATCTGCACACAGGGCCTCAGAGTCCTGCTATGTCATGCTCCAGCTTATGATACATGCTCACAGGACATGCTGTGAGGGATAGGCAGATCTCAGGACTGGGCTCCTGAGGCAAGCAGAAGGAACAGCAGAGTAGAATCAGGAAGAGGGCTGAGATCTCCTGTCTCCTGGACAGCCAGAGCCCACCCATCCTGGGCCTGGGACCTATGTGGGTCTCACTGAGGCCTGAAGGCAGCTTCAACCTGCCCATATTTCAAACCCATGCAGCCCACGGCCTCTTTTCTCACTGGGTCAAAAGTGCTGATGTGATAAGCTAATGAACACTGTGGGGAAGCTAAGTCACCCTATGCTGTCTGAGAAACCCGCCCAGTTGATGACCTGCACGTGACTTGGAGTTTGGGACTTGCTCTGGAGTATCCGGTGGAGGCTGCTGTAATATCATCTAGTGAACATAGGACGAATGGCCCATACCTGGCATTACCCAGGGAGGGTGAAGGGGGCTGTGCAGGTGCCTGGCTTTTATCTCTGCTTAGAGACCCTATGCTGCAGCCTCCCAAGTCCGGTTAAGAGCAGCATAGCGGCAGCGCTGCTCCCTGGAGTGAGGCCCCAAAACCAACAGGCAAGAGAGGTGCAGGGTCCTGAGTTCCAAAGGCCACTACTGGAGGACTGTCACTCTTTGGGAACTGGAGACCCCAAAAGATGGCCTTTTTGAAACCTCTTCCTTCTTCAGCTCTCCGAGTGAGTGAGATGACCTAGTCTAAAGCCTTTGAGAGCAGAACTGACTTTAAGTGATTTTTCTTCAACTTCTACTCAATTCCCAGACACCAGCTCTTGGGCTGAGGTCAGTACAGTCCACAAGGATACAGGGGTCAGGGCAGGAACCACTCCCCCTGCCAACATGCAGGCAGGGAAGCCAAACCTCCCACCTCCCACCATCTCTCAGGCCAGGTCACAGGAGCCCCTGCTCACCCTTGTCCTTGACCAGGGCCTCCAGCTCCTCCTTGATGCTCTCATGCCAGCGGGGGATGTCCACGTGCAGGGAATAGTCACAACAGGCCATGCTGTCTGCTTTCTCCCGCCACTGCTCATAGGCTGCCAACAGGCTCACACCCGTGTCGGGGAACACGTGGTCCACTACGGGGGGGCAGGGGGCAGCATGGTCAGCCAGGCTCCCCACCTGCTAACTGATCCCACCATTGCCTCCAAGGAAGATTTGGTTTCATGTTCTCAGGAGACCAGAAAACATCTGAGGACAGTGCAGCAGGGGAACCTAGTCCTTCTGCTTTGTTCAAGGCATCCTCCATCCCACATCTACCAGCCTCCCTCTGGGCAGCAGGGTGAGAGAGGAGCCCAAGTTCAAACCACCTTGCTCCCAAAGTACCTGGTGCACCCCAAGTAGTGGTGGCAGCTGGGGCCTTTGTCTACCTCTAGCGCAGGCGAGGCACCACAGGGCCAAGTGGAGCAGCACGCTGCTCACTGTGTTGGCTCCACAGTGCTGTGGTATCCAGACTACACCCAGCACTGAGCTGGTTTCCTGTGAGCCTCAAGGACTCCACACCTCAGAGGGTGCCATCCTACCTTGGTACACAGCTTCTGTGCTGTCATCCTTGCCTGCTCCCTGGCCTCTCCTTGGATGGACCAGGAGAGAGCTCAGAGTGGGGCAGTGCAAATGGAAGATGCGCCCCACCCCCGGGGAACAGGCTTTGCTTCTGTCCTGTGCATCCCTCACACGAGCCCCATTTGGCCCAGGGCTTAGGTCATGAGCCAGGACCCCCTGGAGGTGGGTGCCTACCACTCGCTGAGCCATTCACAGCTTCAGCCTCACACCTCTGGCATCTCTATGTCCTCCTGGAGACACCTCAGAGCCTAGGGCAGGTGACATCAACAGTGCAGCTATCCTACCTGCCTGGCCACACAGGGAGCACGTGAATAGTGGTGGCCTGAGGTAGCCAGCCTCTCAGTCAAGCTACAAGATGGCCTGCTGCTGGTTTTCTGTTGCTTCTTGCTTAGTAAAACAAACCAAATTGTGACTGTAGCAATGGGTGAATGTCACCTGTGAAGTGCCCCAAGTTCTCAGGATTGCCCTCCCTGGCAGTAGCAGTGACAGCATTTACTCTGTGTCAGGCACAGGAAGAGCTGTGTGAGTTAACTCCCTTAATCCTCTTGACCCTGTAAGGAAAGGGCTCTTGCCAGGTCATACAGGTAATGGGGGCTGGGTGAGAGACCTGCCGTCACACAGCAGGAAGACAGGCACACAGGGTGCCAGGCTTCAGCAAGGCTCCTTAGACCTCTGTTGAGACATCTGCGCTCAGTACTGCTGAGCCAATGGCATTCAAGGCTCCTGTGAGGGAATGGGCTGGGCTCTGGGGCCTCACCCTGGCTTCTGTACTTGCCACGTGCAAGTTCCCAGGGACCAGTGAACTGACCTCAGAAACAGGGCTCCTCTGCTGATCTTAGGGGGTTTTAGATGAGCACCCGGGAGCCAAGGCCTGTCAGGACAGAGCCAGGCCTGCCACACATAGCTCTAAGGAAATGGGAATTCTGGATGTTATGGAATAATAATAAGCATTGCTGTGATTTTTTTTCCTAAAAATAACAGCCTCCATCTTTAACTGTTCTTAACACGGGCAGGAAATTTCTGCAAATCAAATCAATGCTGTTCCTCATCCAAGGCACTTGGGTTTTCTACACCCTAGTCCTTGGCCAGCTTCCAGTTTCCCAGGAAGTAATAATGGGCTCACATCCATTTGCTACACAGAAATCCCAGAAGCATTCCGGAGCTGGCCAGAATGACCCAAAATGACCCAGAATGAGACAGATAACAAAATGAGATTGAGATACATGGAAAAAACCTGAGAAAAACACCATGATGTAACAACACTTGCTATAACACACAAGTGGGGAGGTGCTTCTCCTGAGAAGTGGGGCCCAGACACTCACATATCATGGTGGTCCCTCCTGCCAAGGCAGCCTTTGTTCCCTGACAGAAGTCATCAGCTGGGGTCATGCCCAGGACAGGTATCTGTAGCCTTGTGTGGACATCAACCCCTCCAGGCAGGACCATCAGGCCATGAGCATCAATGGTTTTGATACCCCCAGGGACGATGAGGTTTTCTCCGATCTGTCTGAAAGCAATGAGAGGAGATTCCACTGTACATGGAGAGCCCAGATCAGATCACAAGTACGTTCCTGAGCCACACAGCAGCCTTGAGAGGCGTGCATTTGGGCTCCTGCCCTTGAGGAAAGGGGATACTTGCTTGCCCAGCTCCTCCAGAGGCCAGAGAATAAAACATGAAAGGCCCAACTCTACACAATTATTATTTCCCTTCTGGCTTCCCACAAGAGTTTCTACTTGCTAACCTACTGATCGAGGTTGGAGTCCCTTGACAGATACAGCAGAGGAACAGATAGTCACTGGGTATTTATGAAGCACACACTGTGAGCTCGGTGTCTTACTATGTGCTGTAATAACACAAAGAAATATGGAAGCCATTGTGCTGTTTCCAGAGAACTCATGATTAGCTGGAGAGACTTTCATCATCTAAGCCATGGGGTGAATCATCGGCACCCATCTCACTGTTTCCAGGGAGAAGGGTTTAAAAAAAAAGAAAGCATTTACATGACTTTCACTCAAAAGTGAACTGCCTGGATACCATGTCATCGACATGCACATATATGATCCATTAAGATTTTTTGGTGGAAACTTACTTAATCAAACCATCTTCCACATACAAATCAGCATAAAAGGACTGGTCATCATTCACGATCTTCCCACCTTTGATCAGAAGCCGGTCACTCTAGTGGAAACAAAAACGGACACTTTCTCCAGACTGAGTACCTCAACATCTTTAGTGCAACTCCCTCTGCTGGAATTAGGACTGAAACATCTTAACAGATAGACACAATAGCAGATGTAAAAACAAACTCAAATGCCTGCACCTGTTTGCCTTAACTGTTTAGTGTACCCCAAAATGGGGTGCTCAGAAGCAGCTGCCAGGCTGAGGTGACCCTGTATGACCCCACACAGCCCGGAAACCAACTGCTCCAGCAAGCTGTCCTCACTGCAGGCACAGGGAACAAGGGGACCCCAGGGCAAAGCCAAGGCTGGTGAAAGTGTAGTGACTCTATTTAAATAGTCTCACACCCTTAGAGGCCCTGCATCCACCTGTGCTGAAGAGGCGAGGCTGACAGAACTGGGCTTCTGGTCCACCAGAAGATGCAGGCTTATATTGGTACAAGAGTGCAAGGTAGAGCAGTGCCCCAGTGGACTTGTTCCCCACTCCAGGAGGAGACTGCACCGCAGTGGGGGGGAGACAGATGGGAGCAACAGAGCACGTGCACATGATCATCACACTGTGACAAATGCAAGGAGCACAAAGAGAGCAACGTGATGAAACACAAGAGAGACAGTAAGGCCGCCTCAGAGATCGTGAAGGGCCTTTTGAGGGGCTGTAACTGGAGACTCGTGTGTGTGTGTGTGTGTGTGTGTGTGTGTGTGTGTGTGTGTGTATGTGTGTGTGAGAGAGAGACAGACAGACAGAGACAGAGAGAGAATTGTGTGTATGGGGAGGTGCTTCTGTTCCACCAGGACACTGCAAGCCTATAATGGTATAGGAGGTGCAGGGTAAAGCAGTGTTTTCCAGGGCAGGAAGCAACCTATGCAAGAGCCCTGGGAGAGGAAAGATCTTGAGTTGATATCAGACCCCAGAAGAGACTGGGGGCTGGAAACTTACAGAGCTGGACGGGGTGACTTGTGCAATGATCAGGGAGGCAATGGGTTGACACTTGGAACTACAAGCAGATTTTGATCATCATCTGTTTGATGAGATCATCTCCACTGCTGGGTAAAAGGTAGACTGTAATGTTGAATGAGGGAGACAAGGTTGCTGCCTGGATAATTTCTGAGATTGTCCAGATGAGATGAGAAGCCTGAGCCAGTGTTATAGGGGAAGGCAAAGAGGAATGGAGTTTGACAGGGACTGGGAGTGAGGCGGGCAGGACTTGCTGAGGGACAGGCCATAGGGGTGAAGGAAGAAATCGGGGTGACTGCAGGTTCTGGCAATACTACCAGTACCCCAAGTAGGTGAACAATGTGACCCTGAGCAAAGCTAGCTCTTTGTAGGTGAATCTTGGTAGCATTAGAAACATTCTAATGTTTAGCAGCCATGAAACAAGTTCTAAGAATTCTACCAAATGGCCAGGAAGAGTTAGACAGAAAGTGGGTGTCACTACCAGGACTGCGCACAGCCATCAGAGATGATGATTGTACCCCAGTGGAGAAGAGCAGAAACAAAAAGTACCAGAACAGGGAATGGAATTATGGAAGTGATAAAATTTTGTAGGCCTTTCCCTTCTATGATCCCACAACTTGCCCAGGGTTCCCATGATCTTCCCACTCCCCTACACACACGCAAAGGCCAGGGCTCCAGCCCTAACTCTGGCTCTTTTCAAGAGTCTGAGGTCAAGAGAATGAAACTGAGAATGTAATACCTAGTACTCTATGAGGCTGAGAGGTTAAAGGCTCTACCGACATTGCTCACTTTTTAAAAAATTGACATCTGTTTGGGCTAAACTTTCAGAATTCTATTGATTAAAAGTTAAACCACTATCAAGTAGTTCACAAAAGGGTTGGCCAGCCATGCTCCAGGCCAAATTCAGCCTTCTGCCTGTTTATATAGCCTGGAGCCACAGATGGTTTTTGCTGTCCTTGTTGTTGCTATTTTGTTTTTTGTAGTACTAGGGATCAAATTCAGGAACTCTTTATCACTGAGCAATATTCCCCAGCCCTTTTTAAATGATTTTATTTGGGGATGGAGTCTTGCTTAGTTGACCAGGCTGTCCTCAAACACGACCTTCCTACCTCTATCTCCTGAGTAGATGTTTCATATTGGATGAAAAAACAATCAAAAGAATATGTCATGACTCATAAACATTTTATGAAATTCACAGTTCAGTGTCTACAGCTGAAGCATCAGTGCAACACAGCCATGTCCATGAATGTCTGAACCAGTACTGCACAGGTGTGACAGATACACTGGGGTCCACAAACCTGTAAATACTATCTGGCCCATTATGGAGTTTGCTGACCGTGGAGTTTCCATGACATTGCTGGTTCCCAGATGTCAGCCTCTCCCTACAAAGTCCCTTAGGTGCCCACTGCCCACCCTCATTGAGCCCTAGCCCTATCCTGTGCTTATCACAGCCATCAGGGCTCCACAGCCAGAATTTAGGCAAGGCTTCTGCCTGTGGCCATGCCCCATTCATGTCCACTGGACCACTTCCAGATCATTCTCAGTAAATCCTAAGGAAGCCCAGCCAGAAAGAGGAAAGCTTGAGACTAGAAGACACTTGTGGCCTAGGGTCTCTGTTCATGTGCCCAGTTTTCAGGCACCAGAACTCGGATTCTGGGGTCTTCCCTGAATTTGGAACCCGGAGAGAAGGTGCTGGGCTATGGTGGATGCTCTTCTCAGAGGCCCCATCAGGATGGGGTGAAATTTGTGATAGTCCGGCCACCCTCCTCAAGGACACCACTGCCTTGCCCACCCGAAGGTCCTCCTGCCACCCTCAGGCTCCACCCCCACCCCGTGCCAGGGGGCTGCCGGACTCCTTCCTCAGACTAGACCCGAAGAGCTGTGTTTGGTCTTGCGGCAGGAGCCCCTTCTGTTCCGGTAAGGGAGGGGCGCTTCCTCTTCGAGTTCCTCAGGAAGGACTGAACCCCCAAAAGGCTGGGGGGTTGTGCCTGAGTAGGCTCCCCAGTCCTTCTGCTGAGGACAAGCCCAGAGTTGGACCTGAGACCCCTCAGACTCCCCGCCACGGTGCAGCAGACACCTCCCTTCCCTTCGTCCCTCGCTTCCCACCCAGTCCTCAGTGGGGAAGCTTTGTTTCCTGGCAGGGCTGCGTGGCCAGTCTGACCTCCCGAACACGGGGTGCTGATTTATTGGGACGGGGGTCTCTCCTCTCGAAGGCTCAGGCTGCAGGGATGCAGGTCTGTGGTCAGTGAGTGCTTGCCTCCCTTGGAGTCTCCCAACCCGGCTTTGGGGAGGGGTTCGGGGCCAACCAGGGGCTCCTGGTGGAGAGGCCAGGGCTAAATCGCTTTGTCTCGGACAAAGAGCTCCAGGAGCCTAAGCGGCGTGTCGAAGGGGCGGGCGGCCTGAGCCGGGAAGGTAAGGCATCCGGCGCCCCGAGCCCGGCGGTCAACAAAGGCCGCGTCTGCCCGCCGCCCCTGAAGCCAGCAGCCCAGGCCGGGTCAGGCCGGACAGGAGGAGAGGCACCTGAGCTTCGGCAAGGAGGCGCTCGCGGCTCCAGGCCCTCCCCGAGAGCAGTGCAGACTGACTCCGGGGCCTGCAGGCCGCTGCGCACCGGGGTCCGGGGCGGCCTCACGGGCACTCTGGGCCGCCCGCAGCGCGAAGGAACCGAGAGAAGGGCCAGCGCCGGGGCCGGGCTTGCGGGGGGGACGCTACCCGCAGGCAGGGCCGGGGGTCCGCCTGGCGTGAAGGCCACTCCGGGCGGTGGGCAGGGGGCGTGGGCTCACCGTGATCCGGGGGATGCTCTTCTTGCCCTGAAAGGACATTCTGCTTCGCGGGCAGGCCCGGGGCTGTCAGGGGCGGCGCGGGAGCGGGCGAGCGGGCGGGGACACGCGCTGAGCCCGGCGTGTGCGTGGGGCGCTAGGCGCCAGAGTGCGAGCGAGCGGGAGGGCGTAAGACTCCCGGCCCCGCCCCCGCTTATTTGCACTCAGGCCCCTCCCCACCATCGCTCATTTGCATTCAGGCCCCGCCCCGTGCCAGCTTCTCCCAGCCTCCCCACGCTGAGGCTAGACCGATTCTGGCACCCCTGCCCGCGCGCACGCGGAGTGGGAAGTGGGAGGATGCAACCTGTCTCTGAAGACGGCTGAGGAGGTTGGGTCCAGCAAAAGAAAGCGGTCAGACAACGTCCTGCTCGGCCCCGCCCGCGCCCTCCCCCGCAATGACTCGAAGCACCCAGGATCTGGAGCTGGAACTACTGTATTCTTGCTTCCCGGGTTCCGCGGTGTGGGAACCGACTCCGTTCAGGACGTTGTCTCTGGCCAAAGCCAGGCTCCTCCGGGAATGCCGGGGCTGGAGCGCGAGCGCGGGGCAGTGTCCTGAGAGCTGCACCAGGCTTGGCGACCTCTCCCGGGGGCGATTCCAAGGGCGGCTGCGCAAAGCCGGCAGCAGGAGGGAGAGAACAAGGTGGAGAGACACAGGCAAAACTAGAGAGGGGCCGCGAGACAGACACACAGACGGACATAGATGGGCTTAGGGACTGCCAGCCGGGCTCAGAAGTGGGACCTTGAGGCGGGGAGACATCCCGGGACGCGCTTCAGGCCGGGCGGCTTGGGCCCGAGTGCTCGGCTCTCTAGAAGTGGCGGCCGGTGCCTCCGTCCTGCAGCCTCACCTGCGGAGGTCCGCGGGCTGAGGCCGCGCTGGGCTGCCCTCGGCGACTGGCCGCAATCGCCGGCCGGTCTCCGCCTGGTTCTCCAAGTATCTCCGAGAGGCTGCGCGGCCCGAAGTAGGGCTCGCTCACCCTTGGGTCTTGGGGTCCGCCGCGCAGTGCGTCCAGTGGCAGTGTCTTGTTCTCGAAGGCATCCTCCACGCAGTGGAAGACCCCGCCGAGTTTGGGCCAGGCCACAGGCTTCGCGGGACCGCGCGGCCGTGGTGCAGTCATGGCAGGAGTCAGCGACCCGCGTCTGGGTTTCCGAGACCCCTGCAGGTCTACACGTGCGACGAAGACCCGACCTTCCCTTGCCTCCCCCTCTCCCCGCCCCCTCCCACCACACCCCTTGCCTGGCTCAGTGGAGCTGGCGCTGTTCATACAGCAGGTGCTGAACGAACTGCCTGGTCTGGCCCCAGGAGCACAGCTGCCCAGCAAAACACAGCCGCTCACCCTCGGGGCACGCGTGGGCTCTGACTCCATCCACACGCAGGAAACGCTGAAAGGGAGCGAGTGCTAGAGAAGCTGCGGTTTATGGGAGCTCCATCACACTCCAGAGCCCTTGGGAGAATCCACACCGGGCAAGGAGGCCCTGATCGAATCATCAGCAGGAGTAAGATCTGGGGATCAGCAAGCGGAAGCAGTTCTTAACCTCGCTGAATGTCGAGGTGGAAGACTTAGGGTCAGACAAGACAGAAGGGGATCTCAGCTGTCCAGAGATCACAGGGCAATACTGTCACACTGTAGATAAATGTGGCGACTGATTTTGAAAGAAAAGACCCCAGCCTTTGTGTTGTTGGTGCAGCCGGGCATTTCAGAGCTCAAGTGCAGAAAGATGCGTCACTAGGACACCCACAATGGTCTACAATGGACACTGACAACTGCTCTTACTCATGTGCAAAGATCCCCCTTTTCTAAGTTATTTGCATTCTTTCTCTGTCAGTTCACATTTGACAGACAGGAGAAAGCTTTCCAGTTGGCCAGCCTCAGCCAGGTGCTGCCAGGTACCTGATGCAGAGGTCTACTCCAGGTGACTTTAGGTGATTCTCAAGGAGGCTGCAGGTAAACCCCAGCTCTGCCCCAGTGGGCAGCAGGTCCAGATTCCCTTTCTGGTATAGAAAGAGGCATTATTGTTCATAGAATGAATGCAAAAAATGGCTACAATAGCCCATAAGTTCAAATCTTAATAATATCCATGGGGGTGCTTTGAGCTTCTAAGATTTTAAAACAATTTTTATTAAAACTGTACAATAATTTACAAATAAGTAAAAATTCTCTGGTATATCATAGGAATTACAATACAAAAATATGTGTAAAATTTTGTAGTGGGTCACCATAGAAACCTAGTTTAGGCCTGCGAATACTGTTTAGTATTGAACAGAGTATCACATGTTAAGAATGTAGTAATTAAGGAAATGCCTCAGAGAACACAAATACTGCCTGGCATATTGCCATAAGAAAACAAATCCTGTTAATTTTTGCATAAATTTACAATAAAGCTTTTAAAAATATACAGTAAACAAATATATGCTTACATATATTCACAATATGATTTTCCTGAGCCTAAACTTAAATCCATTACTTTGTAGAAAACACACAACCCATCTTAAGGTTTCAATGATGGAGTGATGGCAAGTGCTGATGAGCTGTCCATGCCTTAAAGCCACATTGCACCACCCCCTTTTGACTCCCAGTTGGTGTTCACAAGCCACGTAAGGCACTCAGGTTTCCTGAAGGCTACAGATTCTGCGAGGGCAGAGACCTTAAGTCACAGCCACAGGCCTTCGACAAATGGAACTCAACCATGGAGACAAGGTGAACACCACATGGGTGTCCACAAAGGAATCTGTATTTTACATGGATTTCTAGTTTAGACGAACTGAAACATTGTTCTTTGCACTGTAACACAGTACGGCCATGCTATATGACATGATATAGATGCATATGTCTCAGTTACACAGTAAGTATTCCTGGCCACATTTCAGCATCCCTCCTCTTGCTTCTTCAGGGCAGTGCCTTTAAAACTGATTTTCCTGTTTGAAGAGCTAGTGATAAGAGACAAATGGTCAAGGAAATTCAGCCCAGCCCACTGTTTCAATAAAAAAGAAGGTACAGTCTGGGATTTAGAAAATGCACCTTATTTTTAAAACGCTTGAACTCCTCAGATGCTCCTCAGCAAGAATGAGTGATAAATGCTAATACTGGCTTTTTTGCTAAAGCCCAGTTCTGATTTTGTAATCAGATAAAAGAAGATGCTATGACATATGCATGAAAATAATGACACCGAAAGAGGGGGATGACATCCCAACTAAATATGTGTTTTCAGGAATGTGGCAGGAGTACAAATGCAGTTTGGTTCATAGGATATTATTTAAAACATTCATAGAGCCATTTTCCTTCCCTATGTACAAACTTTTTACATATGAACAATAACTTCATAAGCATTGGTACATATTTACATGCTTTTCTTCCCTGTATAGTTTGTCTTTTTTTAAAATTACAGAACTGTGATTTAGAGTGACTGGAGTGGATGGGAGGGTATATGAAGTACTCCAGACACACACAACATGCAAAATCATGATAATCGAACTAAAACAGAGGGATGTGAATTTGGGTTGAGTCTCAAAAGCACATCCTTAGAACCAAATTGGCTGCTTTTCTCTTGCAGGTTCACGTTGGATCCCAGCCAGGAGCTTTCCCCATGGGATGCAGGCTGGCAGGGGACCACATGGAGTTTCAACATTTCTTGGATGTCTGCATTGCAGAATCCATCAGACTTTAACCCAGTGGTTCATCCATAGCTCTGTGGAAGCACTTAATGTAGGTTATTGTTTGCCATTTAGTTCCGAGTATGTTCCAAGAGGATGCAGCCATTAAAACGAGACAAAACTATGCATGGAGGAATACACAAGATTTCAGACTTGAGACAAACCTCAACATCAGGTTTAACTAGAGAGGCAGGGAACTAGGCCAGTGCCTTGTCCAAGTGAAGCATGGACTATAGTTTGAATGACAACAGAAAGAATAGGTCCCTCTTGGAGAAGTGCAATTAATAGTGCATTTCCCAGCAGAAATTCTGCACCCATGAAAGAAAAAGCATATCTGTCTGATCCTATGAAGCATTCCCCAGATTTCAACCTAGGGAACCATGGCTGGTCCACCACATCTGCATCAGAGTGGAACAATTCTTCTGACACAAATATAAAATGAACTTAATACTTCCAGACAACACAGTCATTCCTCCCTCCAGCTACTGTTTTTTTTTAAAATGCAATGCTGTATGTTACACTCACACGTGGATGCATATGGCACACCTAGTGCATCAACTTCTAGGTGCCTCAAAAGGGCTATGTTTTTGTTGTTGTTCTCTGGTTGAGTGAGGACTTGCATGAACACATGTGCAGATGTACATGCCTCTTCTAACTGAAGCACTGAGGGGAACAATCTTAGACCATCAAGGATGTGATGACAACAGAAGAACCTCTCAACCAAGGAGTCAGGCTTATCCAAGTGCAGGAAGACTTTCCTGGGTTATAGACTGGATCATCTGGCAGGAATGGAAATCACACTTGAAACTGCCTTTATTGGTGCACTGTTTTCTCTCTGGAAAAAAAAAAAAAAGTAGAAACAAATGTTTCTTTAGTGTAACCTATCTGAGACTTTCATGAGGAATGCATAGATCATGGGCTGAAACTCAAAGGGGGGGGTTAAGAGAAATGCTGGGGTTGAGGGGAAAGCGCTACTATCAACAATGGTGTGCTCATCCCAGGGGCACTGGCTTTGTGGACCCAGAACCAGCCAAGGTGCCACATCTTGAGCCTCCAGTTGGGAAAAGCAAATGTCCTCCAGGAGAGCATGTGCTTACAGAGGTGAGTCTGTGTTCCTCATGAGGTCATTTGCAGAAGTGGCCTGGAATCTTCCTCAGTGTCCATGGCAGCTGTCCACATTCCTACCCGATTTTCATTTCTTCTCATTACTAAAAAGTTGGCTTCTGCTAGGTTCTTTTCTTTTTACTTTTACATTTTTAAATGTTTTTGACAAGTTACTAAGGAGCTGCTAAGGTTCCTTTTCAAAGGGGGCTGGCCCTGACTGGACACAGAAGCAGGGCAGGGGGAGGGCAGGCAAGGGCCATAGAATTAGGATCTCCACAGTTTCTAATCTAGGACAGGTTGGGGAGGTTTTCTTTTGGCGGGGGGTTGTTTTTTATTTTCTAAACTAACTTCTAAATAGATTATCTCATATAGAGTGAAAAAGACACACAGGCTCCCCTCTGCGCATGTTATACATTACAATTGAAATTGGTGCTGCAATTAAAATCACACATTGTTCTTTAACAGGGTTCATTTAACAGGGCACCTTTAACAGGGTGCCTTTAACAGGGTTCATTTCTAAATAACTTGTCATCCAATCATCTATTTCTAGAATATTAAAGAAGAGACTCCAGTTCAGCCCTCTCATTTTGCAGATATAAAAGCTGAAGCCCCAAGAATAAAAACGATTTTCCAAAGTGGCATGTCCAAGCTGACCAGAGCCAAACTTCCTGATATCCCTCACCCTCTCACCCCACATCATTTCTCTCTGAATCATGTGACCGCCTGTCCAGGATGTGAACTAAATGCATTAAATATGGAGCAGAAATCTTGTCAAAAATAATATTCAGGACTCTAAAATCTCCTCACACTGAAAGGATGAGATAAGGACACTTGGTTACCTGTGGTCACTTGATTGCTCTCCTGAGCCAGCTGCTGTACCACTTTGGTAACACACTTCACTCATTATGTCCAGGGCCTTCTGCCAGGGCAGAGGCTGAGAGACCAACTATTATCTTGTGGTAGTGTGAAATGTTATGACAAGCATAAATACCAGAGATCCACAGCTCCACCTTCTCTCCAGAGGGTCAGAGTCTGATGCAATTTTAATATTGGTCTGTAGTATGGGTAGGTCATAAAGTATAGGAATAAGCTGATAACCAAAGTCATGAATTTAACTTATTTTATGGTACTAAAATGAGTAGGGACAAGAGGACAACAAAGTGTTCAGGTATACCATGACCCAGTCATGGCAATGGGGGTGCCCTACCAACAGGCACTAAGACACCAGAACTTCTCTGAAAGTTGAAGAAGCTGCACCCATTGGTAATGCATGAAATGGAACTGTGCATATGGAATACAAAACAGTGTTCTGATTTATGTCAAAACAGAGCTGGAAGAGCAGGGCCTTGCCGTCTGTGTTTGTGTTGGGAATTTCCATGGGATCTCAGCTATTGGGAAACACCAAGCTGTTGGCAGAGAATACAAGCACCTTCTTGGGGCCCAAAGAGCCCAGCTTGGATCAGAATTAACTACAGATGGTGACAGCACCGAAGGCCCAGGACCCACAGCCTTAGTTGGGGCTTCCAGACATAGGCACATGATATCCAGAGCTAGGGTTCCCATCTGAGATGAGGCCCTATATCCTAGAGCTCTGCTTTCTAGACTCTTTTTTTTTTTTTTTTTTTTTTTTTTTTGGTTTTTCTCCGGTACCGGGGACCGAACTCACAACCTTGCACTTGCCAGGCAGGTGCTTTGCCGCTGAGCTAAATCCCCGGCCACGAGCTCTGCTTTCTAAACACTGTGTCCCAGCACCTACCCCAAAATAACCCATACATGTATCTGCACTATCAGTTACAGGACACTGGGACATGGGCTAAAAACAGAACCTTTCCCATAAATTCTATTTGTCCAAGAATCTTCAGCCAAACATTTTCAAACTATACAGAAACAAATGACAATGACAAAACCTGTTTGAAGCTAAGGTCTTTTCATCCCAAGCTCTGATTTTTTGGGAAATATCAAGTAGATGGCCTTGCCAGACAGAGGCTTAGCTTCCTCCTCGTGGTTCTCTATGGAGTCTTTCCACGAACCCTACAGTACTGCCATCTACTCCTTGCCTGCCACAGTCATCTTTGAGGTCATCCTCTCCCAGTTCCCATGCAGGAGGGCCACACATGACCCCTTCAAATGCTGGATGGTCCTTCCATCCCAGGATGCAGGGTCACGCTGCATTGTGACCCTGAAGCTAATAAGTATATAATAAAGTGGTGCCCATTTTTATGGAGCAGGTAGCAGGTAAGGGTGAGGGTTTGGGGCTCCTGAATGCTGTGATGGTAAATTTTAGTTATCAAGTTAACTGGACCCTGGGCTGCCCAGGCAACAGGCCAAACATTCTGTGTGCTTGTGAAGATGCTCCTGAGTGAGAATCACATCTGACTGGTCAACTGATGGATTCAGGCAGATGGCCCTCCCCAGTGTGGGTGGTCTTCTCCCTCCACTGAGAGCCTGAGGAGAACAGAGGCTGAGTGAAGGTGATCCCCTTCTGCCTGATATGAATTGAGACTTGGGTCTTTTCTGGAACTTGGGCTTAGACTGAAATGTTGGCTCTCCTAGGTCTCTGGTGTGTTGACTACAGATCTTGGGTTTTGTGAACCTCTATAACTGCATGAGCCAATTCCTCATAAACAAGCTCTTCCTTTCATACACACATGTGTGAGTGCATACACACTCACACATGTACACATACACATCTTCTTGGTGCAATTTCTCTAGAAAGCCCTCACTAATGCAAATGTACTTCACTGACCACCACGTTTCAAGGTGGCCCCTTTTCAGAGCAGGAGGCCAGGCAGCCTCATGTCATACCTCTTGTGGCCATACAGCTAAGAGAGGGCAGAGGCAGGACCTGAGCCCAGGCCTACATGATTCCAAAACGGCCATATTTTAAACCATACTGCCAAGTTTTTTCAATGTCTAACAGACTGACAAGAATCATAAATCTATCAGTAATATAGACACTGTTGGGAGGGGGCCTGAGGGCTTAAAATCCCAAACTGTATCAGAATATAACTCGAAGAAAACTTAAACCAGAAGAAAAGGACATGTTCACCAAGAGCAAAGTGGTCTCCTTACAAACCCAAAACCCAGGGAAGAGGGTCCCCCATTAGGAAGTCCACAGTTCTCCTAGGTAGGGTCCTAGGAACCTTGGGAACTGGGGGAAAGATGCCTTGCTGAGAGCCAGGCAGGCAGCCTGCAAGGTGTGGATCTGTCGCTCAGACTCAGGGGACCTTACCCTGACCTCAGAGACTACTGCCTGTGGGATCCAAGCTGGGGGCAGGAAGGTATGGGATGGCAGTGAGAACACAAAGAGATGGGACAGAGAGGATTGGATCATAAAGTATGGGCATAAATTGATAACAAAGTCATGAATTTACCTCACTTTATAGTACTAAAATAAGTATAGAGAAGGGACAAGAAGACAAGAGGGTGTCCAGCTGTACTATAACCCAGACATCTTGGATTCCTGCTGAGCGCTCTGGACCTTACCTGGAAGTCCAGAATCAGGGAGAAACATCAAGGTGAGGTTTGCAGTCTCCCTAGTGACCTGATATGACAGGACTTTGAGACCCTGTGATTCCATCCAAAGCCCTGCCCTAAGGGATCTGGCCCAGCTCCAGGGCTGCCAGCAACTCCCAGCAGCAGCAAGTGGATCTCAGCTCCCTCACCTGCCTGCCTGGGATGACAGCTCGCTGCTTGTTCAGTGGCCCCTGACCTCCCTGCAGAGCTTCCTCAAAGGGCTGACAATTGTCACAGTGGATCCCTCCTAGCTCAGAAGTGTCTCTGAAGGATCTGAGAGCCTTTCCTTTGAAATGGAATCCCGGGGTGGGGGTGTCAGGTCTTCCAGCCTCCATTAGCCTCCATCTCAACTTTGATGTCTGCCAGTTGGCAGATGCAGCTGCCTGATCCCTCTGCCCTGAGCAGCTTCTTACCATGCTTTTGTAACTTTTCACTGCGCTGGCTCCTCTAAGTGCTACCCTCACAGCTCATTCTCCCTTTGAAATGCCCAAATTGCCCCTGCAGGGCTCAGAAAAGACCTCAGACCTTTCCCTACTGTCACTACTGAGAATAAAACTCATTTTCCATGTCCAGCTGTATTATCTTTGACAAGCTCTGCTGAGAGGGCAGATTAGCTGGAGGCAGGGTTGGACCTGACCGTGATGTGGGTGGGCTGGGGAGGATGAGGGCAGCCTTGCTGGGGTGGGGAGGTAGTTCTTGAAGAAATGCTTCCCAAACCCCTGGAAGGCTTAAAATCCCAAACTGTATCAGAATATAGCTTGAACAAAATTTAAACAAGAAAAAAGGGAAAAATTTTGCCAGGAAGAAAGTGGGCTTTTCACAAATATCAAACCCAGAAAAGAGGCTCTGCCATTACCACAGTTCTCCAAGTGGGGTCCCAGGAACCCTGGGAGCTGGAGGATTTGTCCTTATGTACTCCTAGCTCAAGCCCCTTGGGTGGAGGCCACAGTTCCACTCTTGCTACCTCCCCTACTGGTTAGAAAGGAATGACCATGGCACCCTACCACAGAGAATATAGACCCCTAAGGCAGCCCTGGGGGGACAACCCACCCAATCCACTGGGGGCCAGTGCACTGGGGTACACAACATCAAATTGTGCCCAAGGAGCAAATACCCTCTTGCTATGAGAACAAAGAGAAGCAAAACACAGAAGCTATTTGCCTCATTTAGGAACCAAAGGCTGGGCCCTACTGTCCTTCCTGAAGAGGTGCACAA